TTGGTCTACCATTCCTCCACACACACTGAAATAACCTACCATTGGCCTACCATTCATCCACACACACTGATATAAGGCTTGCTGCAGGAGTGTGCGCTTTGTAAATTGATGGGAGATTGAGGGACTTACATGGGGAGGGAACTGATGGTGAGTGGGACAGTAAAACGTTTTATTACTCTTCTCCTGGTAAGAGATGTAGGTATATGTGTATGCTGGGGGAAGGGCATTACAGTCTTGGGATGAGCGGAGCTGACTGTTAGGGTGATACTTTGAGACAAGGTTTGAGATATATCCGGGGGCGGAGTTATGGATGGCTTTGTAAGTGATTGTTAATATTTAGAATTTTATCCTTTGGGCAAGTGGAAGCCAGTGGAGGGATTGGCAGAGGGGGGTGGGGGATGGAAGCCAGTGCAGGGATTGGCGGAGGGGGGTTGCAGACACTGAGCAGTTGGTTAGGTGGATGAGTCTGGCAGCTGCATTCATGATAGACTGAAGGGGGGATAGCCTGTGTAGAGGTCGGCCAATGAGGAGGGAGTTACAATAGTCAAGACGAGAGATAACAAGGGAGTGGATGAGTAATTTTGCGGTACATTGGTGAGGAAGGGGCGTATTTTGGAGATGTTACGAAGGTGAAGGCGGCAGGATTTGGATAGTGATTGGATTTGGGGAAGAAAGGTGATGTCCGAGTCAAGGATACATAAATATTTATACTAGACCAGCTTACAGTTGACTGTAAACTCCTCGAGGGCAGGGACTGATGTGAATGCGCCTCTATGTAAACAGCTGTTTTAAACTGTCAGCACTTTATAAAGACCAATAATAAATAAATGGCAGTAGCCATACAATGTGTCTGTCATGGTATATTGTATTTACATTACAGGGCATAGTTTCATGCCAGAATACAATAACCACATGGCCATACCTTCTGTTTTTAAAAGATTTGTTGTAACTGCGTGAAACAAACTTTAACTGCAATACGCGTGATCTTCATTTCATATACACTCAGACCCAAAAACACTGCCCGAAAATCGGGGGTCGTCTTATACGCCGGGTATACTGTATGTAGCTTCGGCTACATACAGTATACCATGCAGAGCCAATCACGGCAGGCTTTGCATTTTTGAATACAAAGACTGTATTAATGAATGCAAAGCCTGCCGTGATTGGCTCTGCATGGTATACTGTATATAGCTGAAGGACGGAACCCGGAAGATGGAGGACGCTGCGGGGATCGTGGACAAGGTAAGAGACTGTAATCCCGAGTGTGGCTCGGGGTTACCACTTATGGTACTGAAAATTAACACCCAGCCATAGTTGGGAATACTGCCATGGAGGTTAGAGGGTGCATTTAAACATTATTTTGGGCTATACTCGTCTTATACAACGAGTATAGCCCAAAACCTATATTTTAACACAAAAAGTAGGGGGTCGTCTTATACGCTGAGTCGTCTTAAACGCCGGCAAATACGGTAATATAAGATTTTGAAAATATGTTCCTGTGGGTTTCTAACACTCACAAGAGGGTCATGAGAGGCTAGGATCATCACACACATTATACATAGTCATGCTTGGCAGGTATTCCTGGGTGCTGCTTATCTGAAACAGCCTTCAGACAACACTAAAATACCACTCCTTAAAAATATTTCTAAGGTAGCAACAGTGCTGAAGTTCTGGACCTTGTGATACCTGGAAAAAAAAAATCTGTGTTAGTATTGTAAATGAATCTCTGTGCAGCCCTTAGGATCCCAGGCCCAAGCTATTGAAGGGGCTTTGACTTGCCCAAATATAAAAGCCCGCCATTCCTAATGTGCAGCCCCACCCCCCTCAATTGTCAAATGACAGAAATCTCAGATTGTTGAGTGACGGGGCCGTGGCTTAGGTCTGAGAAGGGATTTAAAGTGACACTAAACTCAGGAGCTCAATCTCAATTCAAATTAGTAAACTATAAACCTGAGATTGTAGTCCATCACGGGAGTGAGCTTGGTGCGGTGACTACTTTACAACACACACACAGGGACCATGGGGAACAAAAGCAGCCACCCTCCAGAAGGAAGGACAGTGTCAGCACCAATTCAGAGATGATTTGAGGATCTGCAGCCGAGTGATACACAAATAAGATACATTTTTGTTAATAATTAAGGTACTTGAATGTATTTTTAAGATTTAACCTTAAAGTGACATTAAACCCTCAGATTTTTTAACATAAAACAATACTGTAATGTGTGCCTTACTGTAATCCATGGTTGTTTCCCTTCTCTTTGCTGCTCTTCCTTTTAAATCTGTATTTGTTCTCATGCTTGGGGAGAACTTCTGTTTTGCAGCAGACTGCCTTGTCTTAGGAATGGATACATGGTGTCTGTGTGCAGGTTCACAACCTGAGCCAGCACTACAGGAAGAGGCACTCAGCTGCAAAGGGAAGTTCTCCCCCAGCAGGAGAAGAGATTTAAAAGGAAGAGCATCAAAGAGAAGGGAAACTACCATGGATTACAGTAAGGCACACATTACAGTATTGTTTTATGTTAAAAAATCTGAGGGTTTAATGTCACTTTAAGTGTAATTTTAGGCAGAAATTGAGACCCATGTGCAGCCTTGATCCAAGAAGTTTCCCAGGGATCGACTTGCAGGCACACATACCCATAGTACTTATAGGCATCACAAGCTCCCTGCACTTTAGAACTGTCCTAACCTTAGAAACACATTAAGCCAAGTCAGGTTCAGTGTAAGATTTGTCCTGATGATAAGATCCAGCCTCACACGTTATTCATCACCGTACTGTTTCCCCTATAGTCACATCTGACGGGGGGTGAGAACCTTGTCTCATGCTATCTCATGTTATCAAAGACGACATTGTCACCTTGTCTTGGCATGGATTGTGCCAACTCTGTAAATCTGCAGTGGATCCAACGTGCATAATAATTAGGGATGCACAGATACCGGTATTTCGGTATCGAGTACTATTATTTTTTTTTTGTACTCGCCGATACCGAATACAGAGTACCGGAAGTCCCATTCAGGAAGCCAAGTAGTGTGTAATGACTTGCCACCTGGCTTCCTGATTGGTCGGGAAGGCATAAGGTGATGAGTGAGCATGAAGACGGCTTCCCGACCAATCAGAAAGCCGGGCGCCGCGTCATTAAACCGTACCTGGATTCCCGATTGGCTAGCTTCCGACAAATCAGAAAGCCGGGCGCCGCGTCATTACACGGTACATGGATTCCTGATTGGCTAGCTTCCAACAAATCAGAAAGCCGGGCGCCGCGTCATTACACGGTACATGGATTCCTGATTGGCTAGCTTCCAACAAATCAGGAAGCCGGGCGGCGCGTCATTACACGCTGCCCGGCTTCCGGATTGGCCAGGAAGCCGTCACCATGCTGTCTTGTCACAAGTGACGAGGGAGCATGTTGCCGGCTTCCCGGCCAAGCAGGAAGCTCGGCAGCGTGTAATGACGCGCTGCCCAGCTTCCTGATACCGGAAGTATCGGGCTAGGCATCAGAGCATTTGGGCGAGTACGAGTACTTGCCCAAATACTCGGCATCGGCACCAATACTAGTATCGGTGCATCCCTAATATTAATAATAAGAAAACACTCAACCTGCGCACTAGTAGCGCCTTATGGAATTATTATAGAACTAGAGTAGCTCTATGATTGGTGGATGGAGCACTTTATATAATACCCAGCACTCGGTACCATTTTCTATACATGTCCCGGGATTTACTGACATTTGCACCTTTTTTTTACCAATCTTTATTTCAAAGTGTTCCATTTGTTCTAGTTTGCTCGTTATCGTGGAGAGGGACAACAATTCCGATATAATTACTACATAAAAATATACATAAATATTTTGAAAACGTTTCTGACGCCTAAAACAAAAATAGAAAATAATCAAAGAACTACATATTTTTAATATAAAATATTTTTTTAAAGTAACAATTCAGAATAATATTACTGCATAATAAACTAACTGACTAGCCCTTATCTAGCATGGTCATGGTATAGTAGGTTACAGGCTGTCCTGAATACAGGCTACATAATCTAATGGAGGATGCATAACTGGTGTAGTACTGAAACCACTAGTAACCAACCAAGTTCTTTCTGTTATTTTAGGTGTTTGTTCTCCCCATGAATGGAACATGCTCTTCGGTCAGTATGGAGTCTGTCATACTTCCATTATCTTCTGCCAAACTGCAGAAGCTGGAGGATACACAGATGCAACGGATGGAGGTTCCACTAAAGCGCTATAATACTGTATCGCTGTCCTCTGTTGGATTGTCAATAGGGATACGTGTTGAATTCTCTTTGGCAGATGACACTGGAAACACAGCTGCCAATACAGGTTCAGTGCCAGTCACAACCATGCCAGGAGTTGGGAAGGAAAACCAAGGGATCAAACCCTGACCTACTTCACCAAAAAATGGACATAACAGCTTCTTGTCAGAAGAGTGTGATTCAGCAAAGAGTAAGTGCTTGCTTTTCTGATGGCAGCAGTGTTAGATGCTATAATGTGGTTAGATACAGTTACTGCACCACTCGCATCTACTACATTTCGGTGTCTTGGGTGGTGGGGAGTGGACAGGACCTACAGCATATGAGAGTAGAAATATGGAAGCTGGCAGTGCTAACTTACGTTTAAAGGTGAAAACTCCGGGGCTGTCATTCTCATGCTTACTTTCTAATTGCTCACTGGCCCAAAACAAACAGGCAACTCCTGGCCAGCATGCCTTCTCCAATCATGGAATTTTAGAATGCCAAGTACTAAAAGCAAGGATAAAGATGGGAGCCTACAGCTCGGCCATCACAAACCAGCAATGGCAGCTTACGTATTTTAAAGTTTCCTTTTAGTAATCAGTAGAAGTGGCCTGGAGGTATACCAACAACAGACAGGTAAATGGTATCTCCCAACTAGGCTGGAAATGTAATCAAACACCCATGAAAGCACTTGAGTCAGTGACCTGGCACAGGGAATTCAGCAATGAAATGGAATGAAAATGAGTTTAGCCAATGGAGGTGGACTGATTACTAGAGGTTACAGGACAGACCAGTAATCTAATGTTCCCACAATCCATCAATCTGCTACAAAACAAGATTACTAATCCAAGACAAAGCAGCATTTCATTGCATTCTCTACTTGAAGGAGTTCCTGGTCGACTACTATATAAGCTTGCTAACAGTCCCCAAAAAATGTTGATTGGAAATGGTGGTTCTTTATCAAAAAATATAAAATACGTAATTTTCTGATACAGAAGAACGGATTCATCTGGTATCCAGCATAGATAGATCGCTATGTAATAGGAGGCAGTGTGGTAGCGAGTGTTTGTCCCGGGATGTTACATCTTCTGAGACTGGCTTTTACACATGGTCAGGATCTGTTTTAGCACTTTCTGTACGTCTTCATCCATTTGGCCCTGAGGGGAGAAAAAAGGGAGAAGCTTTGTTAAAGCAGAGATGAAGGACGGGTGGTGAAAGTTCTATTCATGTACCACCTTCCTCGCTTCCCGCAATCAGACTCCATCCCTAGTGCTAAGCCTTGCTCCTCACGATCATAGGATTAGAGCGTATAGAGGTAGATGAGATTACTGCCGTCTCACCATGTGACGGTGTTGGCCCTGGTAATTGGCTGCTAAGGCCCGAGAACTGTGTCACATGATGCAGGTGACATGTTCCTGTGTACCCAGAAGCCCCACTCCGTTTTAGCAAGTGAGGAGGCTGTGAGGGATCGCAGAACAGCGAGTACCACGTTTCCCCGAAAATAAGACACTATCTTATATTTTTTTTTGCTCAAAAAAAACACACTAGGTCTTATTTTCGGGGTAGGTCCTATTTTTTTTTTTTTTTATGTACAACAATCCACACTTATTCATGTAGAAAAGTCTACATGTATTCATGTACAAAAATACGGTGATAAGGGCAATCAGGGGTGCCGTACCTTTCCAAGAGCAATTTGGTAACCAATCGCTGGCCAGAATGAGCGAAGCGCACTTTCACTATCGATTCCTCACAGGCGGAGTGCATTTGGTATCACTCCGCCTGTGACAGGAGCCGGCGCTATAGAGGAGGCATCGGCTTATGCGGCTCTGCTCCCTCCGGTGCGCCTCGCTTCCTCTAGCGCTGGCTTCGTTGGCACCGCTGATTCTCTCCCGCCTCCCCGCGGCTCTTCATGTTCCCCCTTATGCCACCACCGGCCTTGGGAATGGTCACAACTACGTCTTATTTTCGGGGTAGGTCTTATATTTTAGCAATTCCCAAAAATAGTACTAGGTCTTATTTTTGGGGTAGGTCTTATTTTCGGGGAAACAGGGTATTCCTTGCTGGGGAGGTTGGCTATCCGGAGACACAGTCACTTTGTGCTGAATGGAAATATAGCAGTGTCTCTATAAACACTAAACTCAACATACCCTTTCTCATGATAGGTGTGGCTCTGCATTCACTCCCTTAGGCAGGTATATTTTGAAAAGTTGTCCCAAAGACATGAGAAGGCACTACCCCCATCATGACAATTCCATCCATAAAGGCTGACAATCTCATATCCGGGGTGGCAGGCAGGTGCCATTTAGATGACAGCTCTTAGGGAAAACATCTATTGGGCAGAATAAAAAAACCCAATCTATATTATCGTCTCGTGATATCAGCGGTGGATGACTTTGACACTGTTCATTGACATAACTTCAGATGGCAACTGGCAGCTGAAGGTTCTCACATAGGTATACTTTACAGATTCCCTGATGAGAAATCCCAGATGTTCCAAAATCCTTACCTGAACTGCATACAGCAAATGCATTCTGTAAACGGACACAATCTCCTGGTGTTGTTTCTTGGTCTCCTACAGTAAAAGAAAAATACATTAATAAGAATTAAAGGCAGCGTGCGAGTTTGCAGCTAAACCAACAATAAAGCCAGAGCTGTAAAATGCTGGACTGGGTCTAGATACAGAGAACACATTTACTGTATATACTGTATGTAAGCCACCTTTAAAAAGATTATTATTATATCATAAAAGGTATAGGAGACATATTTTTATAAAGCCAGTCATTCGCTGCTGGGACCTTTGTCAGGTCGCTGTGTTTACAAGGAGTGTTTGCTGCCTTTACAGCTCATTGCAAATGTAAATTGTGGCTGAAAATAATCACTTTTATTGATTGTCATCAATAAAAATGATTTTATTGATGACCTGTCCAATGCACAAAATACTGAGGAGGTAAAACTATAGGCTGTAAAGGTCTGAAGTGAACCTAAGGTTGCCCAAAAACCAAATCATTTAAAAGAACAAAGAAATAAAAATAATTTGTTCATATCCATTTGGATTTGTTGTCTGACTGATAATTCTTCTGATGACAGATTGTTACATTTGGCAACTATTCTTCCATCACAATGGTCGTTATATTGACCGTTCTTTACATAGAAGGCCAGCATGGGCTGTCTGAAGCTGAAAAGACCTGTTGGATCCAGTGGATGAGATTTCCTTATCAGGTTGACTCTATGGTTAGGTGCAAATGGATGATTTTTGCTAGCGCAATCGCACTACAAGAATGACTTGTGAATATCTGTAAAAACATAATTCAAGGCAACTGGACTTGCTGTATTTTTCTTGAAGATGTTTCGCTGGTCATCTGGCTAGCATTCTCAATTCAATTCTGAATTGAGAAAGCTAGTTAGGTGGCCATCAAAACGTCCAAGAAAAATACAGCAAGTCCAGGTGCCTTGAATTATTTTGTTACAGATATACCATGACCTGGAAGAATGAGAACCTTCACAGACAACTTTAGAATAATCAGCAGCAATTAGTGAACGATCCATTACACAAATCTGTGAAATCATTAGCGGTAAATTACTATGACATTTCAGGATGATGGGAGAGAATAATCAAGATTGGAATGACTTTAATATTGGTCATAAGGACAGCAAGGTGAAGCTGCTGGGAGTGTATTGCTATATAAATAATCTTCATATTAATATATTATTTTAGATTGTACTAAAGGCAGAAATAGAAGACGCAGAGCAACAGTCTTGCTTAATACAGAGCAATGAAAGCAGCAGCTAGCTCAGTCATATTAACCATTCTGAGTAGAGCTGCCACGTGGGGTTCTGTGACATCCAAAGTTATTATTATTATACAGGATTTATATAGTGCCAACAGTTTGCGCAGCGCTTTACAATATAGGGAAGACATTACAATCACAATACAATTCAAGACAAGATGGTAAGGACGGCCCTGCCGGTGAGGGCTTACAATCTAAAAGGGAGGCATTTGGACTCCAATAGCAGCTCTACTCCAAATGTTTAATATGACATTGAATAAACTGCTAATTTCTTTGCTCTGTATTAAGCAAGACTGCTGAGCCAACAGTTTCTGTAGCATTTAAACAGTTCAGATCATGCCTGGTCAGAGGGCTGCAAGACCATCAAAACTCAGCAGCCTACAGTGATGTCTAGTTGTCTACAGATTTGGAATCTCACCGAGATGGATGAAACCCGAGAGTGAGACCTGAGACTGCTATTTTCTGTTACCTGGTATATGTTAAAGGAGAACTATAGAGACGGTGAAATACACTAATCCCCATAGTTGGAGCCAATGTGTGACACTGCAGCTGTCACAGGTCGGCTCTATTGATCGAGAACTGAGCGATCACATACTGCTGATAGCTCAGTTCCTGATCTTTTTCCTGCAGAGACTGTCAGTCACCGCTCCCCACATGGATTCCCCCCGTCCCATCTCTGTCTGGAGTGCAAATGGGAGGGGGCGGGCACAGCTGGCTCTGGATCTAGAGAGGCAAAGCCAGCTGTCAATCAGGTAGCGGTATGGATCCCAACAATATTGTCGGGAACCTTCTTGTCTGCAGCTTGGCTCTGCACTGTCACCATATAGCAGGCAATATTCCACTTGCTGAGTTTTGAGTCACAGGAGGACATTAGTAAATGCGTTCCTGTGACCCAAAGAAGAACCAACACCAAAAAAGGTTTGACCATAGTTCTCTTTTAAGTAAATGTTATCTTTCTTGCTTTTTAACTAATGGCATTATTTCACTAGTTCTATTCTGAGAAACATAACTTGTGTATATAGTTTATTTGGGGGTCACTAAAAATTAATATGCCAGGCAATTGTAGATCTCTTCAAAATCTGATTATTACATTCTGAGATCAATCACCAAGCATTATATAGAGCCAGATAACACACCTGAGTTAATATGTCAGTAAAATTTACTGACATATTAAAAATATATCAAAACCGTTTGTGGCCCAAATCTATAAAAATGTTTTACTTTGTCATCTCTATATATGGACTTTGCTCATAGGTGTTATGTTTTATTGTTATTAATGAGAACCGGAGAAGGAATAATGAAAAAAGCCACCAGAAGTTTGCCAGCAGTGATGAAGATTCAGGCATGCAGACAGGACGTCAGGATTCTAGAACTATAAAAGGAGACCAATAATTATATTGCACCTCATATATTCTTAATAGTCTAAATAGACTGCAATCAGCAATGTTTACTGGCTCTGTATTTATGTTCTGTTACAAGAAATTGGCAAAATTATTGGTCATGAAAGTTGGCTTCCAACACAAGGCTGGTTTAAAGGAAATCTCAATTTTTTTTAAAAATAAACCTGTCAGAAACGATTGCAATTCAAACTGAGTATACAATGACAAAAATGTATAAGCAGGGGATACATTTATGAGTTTATAGCTGGTACCTGCAGGTGTCTACATGTATATTTAGGTCGTGAAATGAGTGACACTGCGCTAAAATAAAAAACTCCTTTGTGTTTGTTTTTCATTCATCCATTAAGTGTTAGCATGTGTGTGCATCCCTCCTCCTAGATCCAACATCACTAATGCAACATATCTGTGACATTTCCTTAGTACTAAATATTCCGCGGTCACCTGTTAGTGGTATTATAACAAAGTGAAAGCAACTGGGAACAACAGCAACTCAGCCACGAAGTGGTAGGCCACGTAAAATTACAGACCGGGGACAGCGCATGCTGAAGTGCACAGTGCGCAGAAGTCACCAACTGTCTGCAGAGTCAATAGCTACAGACCTCCAAACTTCGTGTGGCCGTCAAATTTGCACAACAACAGTGCGTAGAGAGCTTCATGGAATGGGTTTCCATGGCCGAGCAGCTGCATCCAAGCCTTACATCACCAAGTGCAATGCAAAGCGTGGGATGCAGTGGTGCAAAGCACGCCGCCACTGGACTCTAGAGAAGGAGACGTGTTCTCTGGAGTGACCAATCACGCTTCTCTGAGTTTGGTGGTTGCCAGGAGAACGGTACTTGCCTGACTGCATTGTGCCAAGTGTAAAGTTTGGTGGAGGGGGGATTATGGTGTGGGGTTGTTTTTCAGGGGTTGGGCTTGGCCCCTTAGTTCCACTGAAGGGAACACTTAGGCTGGGTTCACACCTAGTGTATCGAATATGCGTGTTTGTCGCACGTTTCGTGCCGTGTGTTTTTACAGCGATTCGTGGTAAAAAAAACTTGTTGAGCGTTTTACAGAGCCTAGGAACGTGCTGTAAAACGCCCAGGTGTGAGCCAGGCCTTAAGGCATCAGCATACCAAGACATTTTGGACAATTTCATGCTCCCAACATTGTGGGAACAGTTTGGGGATGGCCCCTTCCTGTTCCAACATGACTGCGCACCAATGCACAAAGCAAGGTCCATAAAGAGATGGATGAGTGAGTTTGAGGTGGAGGAACTTGACTGGCCTGCACAGTCCTGACCTCAACCTGATAGAACACGTTTGGGGTAAATTAGAACGGAGACTGCGAGCCCGGCCTTCTCCTCCAACATCAGTACCTGACCTCACAATTGCGCTTCTGGAAGAATGGTCAAACATTCCCATAGACACACTCCTAAACCTTGTGGACGCCTTCCCAGAAGAGTTGAAACTGTTGTAGCGGCAATTGTCGGCCAACTCAATATTGAACCCTATGGACCAAGACTGGGATGCCATTAAAGTTCATGTGCGTGTAAAGGCCGGCGTCCCAATACTTATGGCAATATAGTGCATTGATACTATTTAACTGAATGGGAAGGCTTTGTTTTCACATTTGTATAACTATGTTGCATTAGTGATGTTGGATCTAGGATGAGGGATGCACACACATGCTAACATTTAATGGATGAATGATAAACAAAACACAAATGAGTTATTTATATTCATTTATTTTAGCGCAGTGTCACTTGATTCACGATATTGGGAATAGTGTTTTCACTATTTTTTGGCACAGCAACTTATTATACATTCACATAGTGCAGTGGTTTTATTATTACAAAGTATATTTATGTGTTTGAACACCTTGGGAATCTGAAAACCAAATAGAAGCTGCATTCCTGAAGTGAGTGCGATGTTCTCCTACTAGATACAGGGCAATGCAGAGGCCGGAGAGACTCCCGGTTCATGCTGAAGTGGTGGAAGCCTCTTCTGCCTTTGTGCCAACCAGCTGTCTCCTGTGCTCTGCTAGACCAGTCTGTCGTTAGAAAATGCTTTGTACCAGTAATATTTTTTAATACCTTTATAAAAGTGAAAACTTGCAGATTAAAATGTGCACTTTTGATGAGTTATAAGCTTCCTCAGTTCACAGATAGAACACATTTTGGTTACCATTATGTTAATGAAACCTTATCTCTGCTTTAATATTCTCATTATGACTAAACCACAATAATGCTTCCATTCAGCTTCCCATGGGTCAAAAGTTGGTATCCCTATGGCCATTTGTGCCAGACCAACATCTGTATGTGCAATCATAACCATGCTTTGGCATCTTCACTTTTGGTGCCAGTTGAGAGATTCTGCAGTGGGAAGTCCAGAGAAATAAATGAAGGCGATGTTGCAGCCCACCATAGGATTTTTTTTTTAAATGACTCTTTAAAAGCAAGGGGGGAAATAAAAGGTAAATGTTGGCGTGATGTACTTACCACCAACTGGTTCTGTAGTTGTTTGACCTGCTGCTGTAGTGATTCCAGTTGCTGGCTCTGTCGCTTAGGAGTGCTTGTGGTAAATGACAGCTGTGATAGGCTGTTCAGTGCATCTTTCAGTTTGCTCACCTCCTTTGAGAGCTCACTAATCTGTAAGGTCATGTGTGTATGGATTAGTATCATAATTATTAATGAGTCCAACATATAATTAAGACTTAAGAACCTCAATATGTTGCTCAGTATGGAGCTCTAGGAATCTCTCCTTTGAGAAGCGCCGATATGTGCTCAGCATCTTTCTAAGCAATGCAGTTTGTTGGGGTTTCCCATTTTCTACATCAGCTACTAAGTGTGCCTGTTCCAGAAAATGAAAGGTTGGAGACATAACAATCAATACTAACAAAGTGTCTGAGCGGGTAGTATATGTAGGAGAACAACATAAAAGGTATGACAGAGGGCAGGAGAGGAGTGGGTACAGTGAGCAGTACGTGTAGAAGAGAAGTATGACGAGTAAGATAGTGGGAAGTGTGTGCAGCAGAGGAGTGCAGAAGGTATGACAACGGGCACAATATGCAGGATAGGAATGTGAAGGGTATGACAGGGGGCAGTATGTTACTTTTTATCAATGTTTTCTTTTTTAAACTTTTTTCCTAAAAAAAGCTAACAAGCCCCATGTGTGATAGCATTTGGAGGTGATAGGTTCTCTTTATTGAACCTGTCACCTCCAATACAGGAGTTCTAGCACAGTAGTGTGCTGGCTCTCCTGTGACAGCTGAGTTGGGAATAAGTACTATCCTTGTCGCACTCCCTACCGATATGTCCCTTGTAGTGGGGGGTGCTCGCAGTGACTGCGGATGGCGCCGCGAATGTCAGCAAAATTGTAGAAATGTCACCAGCACACCAGTCCTTTTAAGATAGCAAAAGCTTCATTTATTGAAGTTTTTTGTCATATGACAATAAATTAAGCTTTTGCTATCTTAAAAGGACTGGTGTGCTGGTGACATTTCTACAATTTAGCTGAGTTGGGAAGGCGGCGAGTGCAGCTCTCCTGTCTCAGTGTTTACACTGAGCAGCGCGGAGAGGGGACATTCTCCACTCTCCATCCTAAACGAATGTGACTGTGGCACCCTCATTGCCACAGTCAAATAAGTACTATCCTTGTCGCACTCCCTACCGATATGTCCCTTGTAGTGGGGGGTGCTCGCAGTGACTGCGGATGGCGCCGCGAATGTCAGCAAAATTGTAGAAATGTCACCAGCACACCAGTCCTTTTAAGATAGCAAAAGCTTCATTTATTGAAGTTTTTTGTCATATGACAATAAATTAAGCTTTTGCTATCTTAAAAGGACTGGTGTGCTGGTGACATTTCTACAATTTAGCTGAGTTGGGAAGGCGGCGAGTGCAGCTCTCCTGTCTCAGTGTTTACACTGAGCAGCGCGGAGAGGGGACATTCTCCACTCTCCATCCTAAACGAATGTGACTGTGGCACCCTCATTGCCACAGTCATGACCACAGTGGGGCTGGAGGAGGACACAGTGGGGAGGGAGGAGGCCTGTGGGGGGTCGAGGAGGGGAACCATGGATGGGTGAGGAGGGGGCGGGGGGAGTGACGAGCAGGTTATTTTACAAGTGATCTTGAGAGGCTGTACAGCCGCTTAGAATCATTTGTACAAAACGGCTCCACTGCACTACATTTAGCCCTGCTGCTTGCCCGAAGCAGGGATAAATGTAGAGAAAAAACTAGCCACCCGGCACTACATGTCCCCGGCGCTGGGCGATACGAATTCCACATCCCTTTAGCGCCCCCTCAGACCAGCGCCTGGGGGCAAGTGCCCCCCTTGCACCCCCCCACTATGCCACTGATATGTTCAAAGCCATACAAGTGAATGACAGGGGACATGTGACCCATGGAGGGGGCAGAGACTGCTGCTGAATTAAGATTTAGTCTGAGTGCTGACCCTCTGGACTGTGTGCTTGAGCTTAGCATGCAATGTCTATGGGGAGGACATAGACAGTGTTCAGTATGTGATTTGTATGCTGGGAGTGTGTGACTGCAGAGTAACATAGACACGTCTGATGATATTGACTTTGAAAAATAAGTACCATGGTTTGGGTGGGTTCACTATACAGTAATACCTCGGTTCACGAACGCTGCTGTTAGCGAACAATTCGGTTCACGAAACAGGAAGTTCGGCAAAATGTTGCTTCCGTTCACAAACTCCAAATTGAGTGACGAACACGACCGTGGCCATCTTCCCCGCTCTGACACATGGTTGTGGCTTCCTCTAGATGAGATCGCGGTCGCAGACAGACCTGTGCACACTTGCTGTGAACCTTTTTTGTGTGCTTTTTAGCATATACAGTACTGTGCAGTATTATTCAATCCAGCATGGCCTTCATTCAGTTTGTGACCGGAATCGTGGAACGAATTAAGTTCGTGAACCGAGGTACCACTGTACTTCTGTATTAGAAACCTGCACAGCTGCACACAAATGGATCAAGTTAAACCTTTACTAACACTCCACACTTCCTCTCCCGCTGTATGCCACATTGCACTAGACATTCTGATGCCAACTTGGCCAAACATTGTTCACTTTACACATAATAGTTCCAGTACATGTCAATATATAATATTATGACTAAAACATTATTACCAAGGACTACAAAGTCAGCATGAAAGGGACAGAGCCTCTGACAAGGTGTCATTGTTATCTGTGACCCCACTTGGAAGAATTCTCTTTATGTCCTGGTTATATGACAGATGTCAGAAAGAACAGGCAGCACAGAGAAATCCACCAATGAGGACACAAGCAGCAACAAAAACACAATTTATAGTACAGCGGCAAAGGTTTAGAATGATATAAAATAGGGTTGTACAGATACCAAGTACAGTACTCGGTACAAGTACGAGTACATGTACCGATACTTTTGAGCTCCAAGACTAGACAAGAGAAAAATTCAAAAATTAGGAGGCAGCTGTCATTTGTAAGGAGCACACGGAGCTCCTGGGATTTGTACATCTCTGTTTTAATGTATGATTTTGTTTTTATAACTATAAATAAAGAGATGCACCGATACCAGTTTTGCGAGTACAAGTACTGGTACTTGCCGAGTACTTACAAGTACGAGTACTGATACATTTTTGTTTATTGTCATGTGACAGTTTTTCTAAAACAATACAGACTAATGATTTTAGGACAGTGGTGGAGCGCCAGAGCCAGGTCCCAGCTGCAACCCTGGTAGTTCTCATGAAAATGCCAAGTATCTGCACTGGTACTCGAAAAATATCTGTGCATCCCTAATATAAAAGCAAGAATCTAAATCAATAACATTTCTAGTGTAGGTTTTAGCTGTAACATTGCAAGTCAACAATGGGCAGACCATCCTTGTAATGTTGAAGGTTGTCATGTCAAAAAGTGGAGATTAGCGCTGCTGGCCACTAGCTTCTTCATTTTCTAAACTAGCAGAGCCAAATCATCCACAAGACAACCTAGACAGGAGCCCTGGAACTGGTAGATGTCCAGGGGACCCGGCTACATCCTTCATGCTTGTGCAGTAAACCAGGGAAGTGCCTGTTGATTCACAAGGGAGGAAGTACTTGCAGGTAGTTGGTCTCTTTGGCTCCATTCACACATGAGTGGTTTTCCTGCGCACTTTCAGCCATGCGAATACGTGCGGAATGACTCTAAACATATGCATTTTAATGTGCTTTGTTCAGACTATTGTGGGTACCATGCGTTACAATACCGTGTGTCCTGCAAAATAGTCAAAGCCCAATTTCAAAAGGGGAGATTCCGCATCTTTGCGGCTATAGTAATAGTCGCAAACGAGCAGAGTCCGTGCAGATGTAAAGATTTTAGCGTTTTCGTGCCGTGCTGTCTTCCACACAGAAAACCGCGTGGGAAACACAAACGCTATGTGTGAATGGAGCCTTATGAGGCAGGCTATGCCAGTATGGGATGGCTTATCTGGGTCTAATCCTTATCAATGTAAATTGAAGGAGTCTTTGTGGTGGGGGGGAGCTGCTACCTTGCCTATGGCCTTATTCTACCTTAGTCCATCTCTTGCAAGTAGACAATGCATTTGAAACTTTTTGGCTGGAGTCGCACCTTCCTGTGCACGTTTTCATGTGCGTTAACAACCATGTACATCCATGCACTGGCATTATCATCAATAGGCCCTATAAGACACGTCAAAGCTTTAAAAAAGCATGGAGAACACCCATCAACGCATAGCCCAGATTTGAAGTGGTATCATTAAAAACAAATGGCTGACCTGTGTATATGCAGTGATATGCAATTTGAACTGTGCATAAAAAGTCATAGATGTGAATGGACCCTCAGTATTTTACAAATCCTAACAAGAATTCTGGATTCACTGCACTATAGTTTACAAAAAATGGTTACTGACCTTCTTATCTTTGTCTTCCTCTACTTTCGAAGTATTTTCAGACAGCTTCTTCATTTCCACCAGATCTTCCTGAACTTTTTCATATTTCATACAGAGTTCATCAATTTTCTGTTCTTTCAATTTAAGCTGGCCTTCCAGTACTTCTTTTCCTTCCTTTAACTGCTTAATGTCCCTTCGAGCCTGTCCATTGTCTGCAGAGAACTTGTCTTTTTCCTTCAACATATCACCTACTCGTGAAGACAACATGCTTATTTCCTCTTCTAAAGAAACTTGTCTTTCTGCCAGTAGCCTTTTAGTTACAGCTGATTCCTGGACAGTCACCTTTTCTTGCTGCAATTCACCTTCTAAGCTCTTCATTCTGGACTCTTGAGAAGCAAGCTGCTCCATCAGTCCATTCTTCTCCAATTTCAGGGTTTCAATCTGTTTCTTCAAATCATCAATAACCTTCTCTAGCTCTGAATCTGTGGTGTGTTTCTTTTCCTTGTCCAGCTGCTGCTTCAACACACACAATTCCTCTAATATTCTGGCATGCTGCGATGCTAAATCCACCAGGTCATTCTCAACTTTCTCTTTGCTTTCTTCAACCTCTTGCAAGAGCTTCACATGCTCATCCTTATGAATGAAGTCAGATGAGATATGATTGGAAGCTTGCCTTGTCTTTTCTAGTTCTGTTTGTGCTTCACTGTACAACAAAGACAGCTCACTCACTTGTTTGGTCAACTCATCTATCATAGTAGACCTATCTTCCTCTTCGTGTCCATTCTCCAAAAGTACGGACTCCTTCTGACTTTCTAACTCTTTCCTTAAACTCTTTATTTCTTCCAGAAGCTCTCCCTGCTTACTTGTAAGTTCAGAATTCTCTATGTTTAATTTTTCGATCACTGCACAGTAGGATTTCTCCATCTCCTCTTGTCTTTCTATGGGCACCAGATTGACAATGCCTTGTGTTACAATGTCTATTTGGTGTCGCAAGTCGTTCATCTCATTTTCTTTCCTTTCGCTTTCAGCTAGAACCTCCTGATACTCTCTCTTTAGCACTTCAAACTCCTCCAGAACCATGGCATTGTCATCATTTGATTTTCCAATGCCTTCTTCTTCTTCAAAGTCTTGCTCAACCCTTGACATCCTTTGAAGATTTGGCTTTAGTGCTGTGTCGTCTTTTTGTTCATTGCGTGATCCCTGAGGTTGAAGGTCTGTATCAGAAGGTGCTTCTGAGGTCTCTGTACTAAGCGATGCATGGCAGCCTGCAGGCATTGACTGGATATGAGTTTCCAGGTCCCTTCTGATCGTTTCCGACTCCTCAAGTTTCATCTGCATTTCTTCTATCGTTTGCTCAAGCTGCTTCATTTTCAGTTCATATTTTGTCCCCTCTGGTTGGGAATCAAAGGAAATGTCAGAGTTATCGGAAATGACGGCTGGTGACTTTGCTTCTTTATCTTTGGCAAAAGATAACTCCGCTTGGGTAGAGTGAAACGAATCACTAATATCTGTTAAAGCTCCAGCATAGGCTTTTTCCTGTAGAGAAAAGTGCAAATGGCGTAAACAACTCATGATAAAACAAGTAACAGAACACTGTTTTCATAATCCATCACAATGAATAAATATAATCAACTTGCCATTCAATGGGAGAACAGGTAATATGTAAAGAAAAAAAAAAAGAAGGTAGAGAGATGGAAAACTACAACAAATTGATATAATTGGAACCATCAATGGAGTAAAAGACCACTATAGCAGAAAATAATGTATGTGTTTAATACCTGCAATAATAATATGAATTCCCTTTTTTATTGCACATGCTTTTATTTGTATTTTTCTCCACACCTACATGAAGACCATGCTGTCCTGCAGAAATGACAGTTACAAGGAGTGGGACAAACCATATCACATTGATGGGGTGCCTTCAACAGTCACCTTCTAGTTAAATAGTTTTAACTTTTTTTTCCCCAGAGTCAATGAATGTGATACCCTAAAGACATTTGGATTCTACAAACCTGTAACCTGTCTTGCAGTTCCTTGTTTAGCAAAGTCAGGGAAGCCACTTTTGCTTGGAGTAGTGATAGAGTATCTTGCTGCTCCGCTTCTGAACTTACATCAAGAAGACTGTCTTCCCCTGTAATCAGAGAATATTTATACAATTAACATAGCTGATGAAAAATTGAACTTCAGTTTATTACAAATGTTATCAAGTAGAAGGTGATGCCTAACATGTATGTTTTTGTAATAGTTAAAGAGACACTGTCACCTCGCCTATGCAGGGCACACTGACAAATGGGTTAATGGGTTAATGGTCACTCAGCATAATGAATGCAGCAAAGGTATGTTAAAGGAGAATTATGAGGCGAGTGAAAATCACTCAGCCTCATAGTTCTAGCCGACCTGTGACAATGAAACTGTCACAGGTCGGCTCAATAGATCGGGAAGTGAGCGAACACATAGCGTTGCTGGCTCACTTTTCGATCTATCCCTGCAGAGAGTCGTGATTGTCACTCACGGCTCCCTGCAGGGATTCCCCCCCCCTCCCTTGTCTGATCCTCCAGCGCTGACTGGCGGAACGGACGGGGGAGGGGGCGGGTACAGCTGGCTCTGCCTCTAGATAGGCAGAGCCAGCTGTCAATCCCGCAGCTGGGTGGATCTCGACAGTAAAGTTGGGATCCGTGCTGGCTGCGGCATCTCAATATACCGCAAGCTGTAGCTCGCGGTATACTGAGCCTAGGGTGACGGGAGAACGCTAGTTTGTGTCCTCCCGTTACCCTTAGGAGAACTATGGGGAAAAGCCCTGACCCCAGAGTTCTCCTTTAACTTCAAACACCAATGCATGTACAGGGATATTTCACACAATGAGACTTTGCTGTGCACATGATTGGATAACTGAAGCAAACAAAGCTTAATTTTATTCACTAAGTTATGTGAACATCCTCTGCTGCTTTAGTAAATTAACCTCAGTGTGTCTGCAATGCGCTCCCCGAGAGCCACTGATACTCAACTTACCAGCGTTCACTTAGTTCTCCTTCATTCGACACAGCTGGTAACCCCGCCAGCAACACTTCTGGGAATGAAGGAGTATGTAAGCTCCTACCTAGTGACAATGTTTGGATCTAGCAGCCAATTGCTGGGCCCATGTACTGTCACAAGTGACAAATATAAATGCTCCTTCTGGTTGCCACCTGTGATTTTAGTGCAAGAAGTAACAGAGGAAGGAGTGGTGAGGGAGCACTGGTAAGGTAAGTATAGGGGAGTGATGGAAAAACCTTGACTCAGACACTGCCATATTGCCCTGCATGGAAGAGCTGACAGTGTCTCCTTAACTTGTATATTTAGAGCACTGAAGCAACATATTAGTCAGACGTAGGATTTCTTTCTCAAGGGTGTACCTCCCTTAAATATTGTCCTGCTCTTCAAATACTGTTGCCAATAAGGCATCATAGTGTCAAGCTATACCATCCCTGCAGACTGGGAGGAGGTTCTGCATGCATAGTTATTTACACAAAGTCATCTAAAGACATGTCAATCCAAATGATATATTTTCATCAGACTTACTTCACAGCTGTACAATTGTTTGGATGGGAAAGATACCGAATAACCTTTGTCCTAAATGTCATAGGGAGTTAGGGGGATTTCTCCATTGAAATTGGGAGTAAACTATACTTAGGTCATTCTGGTCTCAAAATATGGAGTTTATTTCCAATCTATTAAGGCTTGTTCACACCGAGTGCAGTTGTGATGCAGTCCGTTCAGTTTGGCAGCTGCTTTCCAAAGTGATCGCAAGATGGAGGAGAATACTGTACGGACACAGATGTCACAGTGGTGACATCTGCTCCGTACTTCTGATCAGCCCGTGTGAAAGGGCCTAATAAGAAGACATTTGCCATCAGACAAAAGATCTGTACAATACAGTTCTAATGTTTACAACTACTCTTAATATGCTTTGTTAAGTCTGATAATGTCTTCTACTGATTGTTACACCTATATTAGATATTCTAATCTGACAAAAAAAAGCTAGGAAAAAGCTGTCATCTTGAAGTCTGAAGCCGTGGCCGCCAGCTCATGGGCTGCTGGCTCTGTTCGTTCATAGATTTTCTGACCGGCTCATGTCGATCAGCTGATCAAGGGATGCCGGACAAAATGTCCTAGAAGAACAGGCTGAAATTCGTATAATGCATGGCCAGCTATACACAGGACCGGGCCAAGAGAGACAACGTTCACTCACCATAATGTATCTATGGAGGAGCTGCGTTGTCACTCTAGGACAGGAATATATAACATCTTCTCACCTCCATCACCTAGATGGGAGGGGTTCTGTAATCCTCTGAGATAGCTGGGAACAATGGCAACTTATTACAATCGGCAGAGAGCACAGAAAGAAAAGTTTTTTCCCCCTTTTAATTAAACCGTTTTATAACCAATCAATATTAACTGCCAATAATCTGCTTTCTGATCCCCAGCAATCACCATGAAAATTCCAGGAGGGTAATCATAGTCATTTACTCATTGCCTCTTCAAATGTATGCAGTCCTTGTATCACTGATCTTATTGCTTTACCTATCTTCTACAGATCAAGTAATGGGACCTATTATTTTACCTGTGCTGTCGCTCAGTCTGTCTCTGAGTTCTCTCCTGTAAGGTGTATTTTCATCCTGCAGAAAGAAAAAAACATCAACAAAAAGCCACTTTACTTTATATATAACAGCCAAACAGTCAGTAAGCAGTAAAATGAATCAAGGAGGGATCATTTTAAAGCTGAACTCCAAGTACACAGATAAATATATGTACATATATGGGAGCAGTTTCACCTGCTATAGGGTTCGTATTCTGTCCATCACAAGATTTAAACAGCTCTGTCACATAACACTGCTTTGTCTGGCAGGGCAGGAGACCTGGTTTCTTTCTGTTCCTGTTAAGTAAGACTTACAGGTCTCGTCTCTCCCCCAGCTTGTGACTGGACAATGAAGGTGAAGCAGCATATGTATAAGCACATCTCTCTTTGCATCTCTGTACTCTCATATCAGAATGCTCAAAGATAGACATTCAGAGCTTTAAATCTGGTGGATTCCACCTTTGTGTTTGTGAACAGTGAGCAGATTGGAGTAAAACCCTTGAAACTGTTCTGCTACAGGAACTTGGTCCAAAAGACCACAGAGGGCTCGATGGAGATCTGCTAGTCTGCTGTGCAGAGAATCAAGAAGGTTTGAGGTACGAAATGGAGGAGGGAACATGGAGCAAAACTCTAGTTTCTAGCCCGGGGATACCACCTCCTGAACCCAAGTGTCAATGAGGTGCAAGCTGTCCAAGCATCTGCAAAGGTCAACAAATGTCCACCCGCTCTTAATAAAAGCATTAAGTAATTTGGTGTGTATCGGCATTGCCATATTTATCTGTATTACCTTGCTGCCCTTTTCTGAGAAGAAGATTTCTCCTTTGGCTGAGAGTGGAGTTGACGTTGAAGATAACGGAGAGGGCATGTCACTGAGCTGTAATGACAAGAAATCAAATGGGGGTATTTACTGAGAAATGTGTGGGGCTGCCATTGGATTCTAATAATGAGCCCAGACAAAGATGTCACCAGAAGCCTCTTCTATCAGGTTTCATTATTCCATTATACTGCTCCCTGCAATACAGCCATTTCTTTCTTCCATGTGCTAGATGTTGACTGCGAGGTTCAGAGGTTTCTCTATACACAGTTAGGATATAGAGATCTATAAGCCCACTGAACTTCCACCAGTTGAAGAACATAAAGTCAGGGTACAGCAATTATTATACAACAAAAAGAAAATGTTTAGTCAAACTAACTGCCCAAGCCTCAAATGTCAGAGCTGCTTTTCTTAAAAAGTCACGTTTGCCTCAGTTCCTGGAGTGGGTCTCTTGTTTCTTGTGAGCCCAGAAACAACCCATTCTTACAGCCATAGTCTCTATGTTTTATTGGTAAGGTCTGAAAGTGGATCTGGGGAGCGAATTCCAATTTGTTTGATGGGAGTAAATTCCCTCTATGGCATAGAATAACTCTATAACTCGGAATGGCCCTGACTTGATGAACCAACCCAAATACAGCAGGCATTCATAGAGCATATGCTGTCTGGCAATTAGCCATAATATGGAGCCAATAAAAAGTGAGATCTTCCACTTTAACCCATACATAAGTGTTCATTAACTACAGACACCCCTGTTAGTCTTCAAGCTTTCTACTCAGATACCCGGGGTTTTATTGCAGAAATTATCTGTTTATAGAAACATCTATGCTTGATTTGCCAAGTGCACATTACTGCTGGTGACAAAAGATTGGAATGGCATTCCTAAAGAGATGGGAATTCTGGATCCAATGATGTTAACATTAAGGGACTATGATAATTACTTCCATAACAACGTATTACAAATTATTAGGGATGCACAGATATTCGCCCAAATGCCCCAATACCTTCCCCGATGCAGGAACTTCTGGTCAGAAGGAGATTTCCTCTGACCGGCAGCGCCGTGAGGGAACATGGAGCCGGCTTCACAGCCAATCAGGAAGCCAGGTGGCAGGTAATGAATGACGCGCCGCTCGGCTTCCTAATTGCCCAGGAAGCCGGCTCCATGCTAGCACAGTACCGGTATCAGTACTTGGTATTGACGAGTACAGAAAGATAAAAATCGTTACTTGTACTCCATACCGAAAAACCAGTATCAGTGCACCTCTACAAATTATTATTATAAAACATTAGCTGATCAACAGTTTTACTGAGAGACATATGTAGCCTGCCATTGCAAACCTCTTTTGAAAAATGCTAGTTGCCTGGCTGTCTGACTTCAATATTGTGAGTCGCTGACCTGCAATTGCAATGGAAGTGCATTGCTAAAGTGCACTGGGTTGCCATTGAAAATAAATGGCACTGTGCAATGCCGCATGTTCCAGTAACACGCACATTACGGCAACACAAAGGTGTGAATTGGCTATAATAAAACTGAAGCAGGCTGATAAATGGTCAGTTTCTTGAATATATTTTACTCATAGATAACAAATTATCTGGAACCCAAAACGACACACTTATATTTACTTATTTCAACCAGACCTGAACTGAAAATAAAAATGTGCTATCGTATATGGAACATCTGGAAATGTTCATGGTGCCTAAGCAGTTCTCTGAAAGACTTCGCTATTGACTTTCTCCTGAAAATTAGCTGTGATCTTTCTGTTATGTGAGTGTGCCCCGACATGTCTGTGCCTACAGCCCTATAGCTGTATATCTGCTTTGTCAGATCTAAGGCATTGATGCCTGTGACTGCTAGTCTCACAGGTTTTAGTGATGTCATTACCGTGCTGCTTGCTGGAGAGAAAGCTGTACATAAGGGCCTGCAGACAGGAATATCCCTGCAATCAGGGCCGGTTAACACCACAAACAGTGCGCTCCATAGCGGTCAGGCTCTGGAATGCACTGTATCGCATCCCAGCCAGCACACTGCATTCAGGGGCGTGGTGGTGCATTGAAGTCAATGGCACTGCTGCCACAACCCCCCCACTGCCAGTAGTGCGATCGCCTGCACCCGAACGCGTGGCACATTAGTGCCTGCGTTCCGGTAAAGTGCAATCTGCAAAAATGCTGCAAGCAATCCCGCCCCTGAACACAGGGAGCCGGCCAGAGTGCAATATAGTGCGTTCCAGAGCATGACCACTCTGGAACGCACTGTTTGTGGGTGAACCGGCCCTCATTTTGTGTGATTCCTGCAGCTTTTCTGCTGCTTCTTGAATATTCCTCCACCAGTCATCAAAGAGGCAGCTCTGACATAAGAAAGCAAAGCTCTGCTTTTACCAAGATGGTCAACTCAACACAAGGACACAGTCCACAGAGGAAGAGCACAGGCAATACTGGTGACTAGTCCTTTGTCCTCTGTCTATTTTGTGTACAGCGTCAACAATACAGGTCTTCTTTAACATCTCAGAAAATGCCCACGGAATATTGTCTACATTTGTATCTACATGTACAGTGTACATTTTATAAATGTATTTGATGCAAACTGCAGAACAGATTGAGGTCACATGAAAGTAGAATAAATCCCATAAAGATCCTTCAGAAACATATATGACAGAAGATGCTAATTTTTCGTATTACCTGGATAGGGCTGATAGGAGGAGGCGGAGCTTTGCGTTTTTTGGGAGTTCCGCTTCTTTCTGAGCTTAATCTATTCGCTTGATCATGCTGAAAGTTTCATAGGCCAGAAAAAGTGAGCTGTTAGTTGGGTTAGTGGAAACTGAGCAAAACTATATAGTTCTATGGCAAGAAATGCTACTGATTGCTAGTGCAGAGTAAAGATATCACAAGGAATAGTAACCACCAACAGTTGAAGTATAGACACTCTATGTCCATCCGAATAGTTACAAAATAAGAGTATTTGGGCACCATGGAAGCATGCAACTCTTAGAATATTTTCTCTACATGCAGCAATGTCCAGAAGTGATCAGTTTAGGTAGAGTCACTATTTGTGGACATTATACTGATGACTCATAGATTAAAGCCCAACTCCAGGCTATTTCTTCTTTATCAAAAGGCTCCTCTGGAGTAGTAAAAAAAAGGATCTCTGGCTGCAATACTCACCTCCTCTCCAGCACTGCCCCCTGCAGTAATGCTTTCCCACCACTGGGTGTCCACAGACTTCTGGACTGAATGACACCGAATATAATTCAACCTGGAAAACTAGGGGCATACTCTGAGTGCAGGGTGTCATGGACCCAACCCACATATAATGATGCATTAAATGGCTTTGACATCATTATCATCGAAATTGCAAAACAATACCGGCGCCTTCAAATCCAAAGATTTGGTTCTGATGAAGGGGGCGTGCCCCAGAAACGCGTTAACCATTTATCAATACAGGGATCGAGGTTACTGGTGTTTTACATCGCTCCAGATTCTCCCTGCCAGGGGTTCCGTCCTCTCACCCTATTCTACTGGTTTTTATTCTACCGAACTGTTGTAAGTACAGCCTTTAGAGCTGCGTGTTTTTACTATTAAATAACATTTTTACACTATGGAGGCGCTCTCTTTTGTTCTTTTTATCATTATCATCGGACTACTCACTGCATTATTGAGGGCCTCCCAGAACCAGGACAAGATCTAAAGAAGAAGACCCTGCGGGTCACGTGAACAGCCTGAAGACTTCTGGAAGAAGTATTAAAAACTGGGACTGGGAAGATGAATCTGGAGTTGGGCCTTAAACGTCGATGATTTATGTTCTACAGAACTGTCGCTAAAACAGGGTTGTTTTCAGACAATAAAAGTATGGAAAATTGACCATAGTATATTTGTTGATGACTATTTACATGGCGTGCAAAATTAAATATATCCCAGGGGGCCCAATGTTGTTATCTGGAGCCTTGGTTGCACCATAGATTTCTTATCCATATCTGTTCAACACCACCTCTTCTTTTTGACAACATGAGGTGTTCCAAACCCACAGCAACAACTTCCACTGGTAGACTACTGATCTGTGGGAGCTCATATACTGGAGCTATGTCATTTTGGTTCTTACTAGATGTACTCATCTTGAGGGAAGAAAGTCTCTAACAACGATAATCTAAGCTGTGCCGAAGATGGGAGAATTCCTAAATCGAAAGGTGAAGAAATACGACTAAAGACGACCAAGCACCAAACCCGCTATGTACAATTAAAACATCTGGAGTGACATTGGTTTATAAGGTTAGGTAGTGCAATCAGCAGTTAGGTTGAGGTAAGTGCCCCAAAACCAATGCAACAAATCAGATTTCAGTTTACTGTGAGTAGTACAAGGTTAATTCTGATTGGCCGCTATGATTTACCGTACTTTGCACGGCTCAATATTTTCAAACAATGTTTTGTGATCATCAGTGGCATGGATGCTTCCGAAGTAATTATCTCTTCAACAAGCAGATCACACATAGACCTCGACTTTCAATGCAACTTTAAAAGCCACCGGACTGAATCGAATTATAACTCCAGCCCATTGAAAAATATATTATTATTCTATTATATAAAATGTATAAACATCATCAGATGAATGAATATAAGTACCTGCAATGGCTTGGCTGGGCTTCTTAGTGCTGTGTAGAGAAACAACAAAATGAAATTCAGTTAAAGGGTAAGTCTGGACAAAGTAAAAAAAAAAACATGTTCAGTATATCTCTCTCTACTAACCATGCACATTTCCTCATGTTTTTTTTTTCTTACAAATGCTCCAAGTACAGAAAGATGGCTGTTGATCCTGCCAGAAATCCAGTGACCTCCCAACATTTGACTGACAACACTGCCTCTGCTGCACTGAAATCCCTAACAGTGTTGTCAGTCCTGCCTGCTGACTTGCATATATTTGTTTCTTTCCTAGCAAAACAATGCTGCTGCCTTCACTTTCAAAAGCGTGCCCACACATTGGGAGATATAGTTCTGGGGGTTGTGCATATATCAGTAGGAACCGAGCTCCCAGCAGTTGCCCCGCGAGAAAATTATAAGCCTTGTGATGTTGTCGCAGGGAAAAATAAAGGCTGCTTCCCCAGAAAAGTAAAAGAAAATGCTGGGCCATGCTCTAAAAAGAGAAAGGGAAGTTTGACGGTTAAAATGGGAGCCAATGGAGCTAAAGCCTTTGCCACTAATTGGAATACATGTCCTGGCCCCAATTGATCCTTTCTGGGGGGGATAACATTTAGTATTTATGGCGTCCTCAGACACCAGTACTCATCTTCAGCATGTTATAACATTAATGAGGGTTTGGTCACATTATGGCTCCCACAGAACAAGTGATTATCATGGGTGTCAGGCTCGGCTTGGATTTGCACTCGGGTTTAGAAATGAAAACAATACCATCAACAGGTTATATTTAGAGATTTTACAGCTTTACTATTAGAACTGATTTTGTTAAGACCAGAAATACTTTCCTGCACACACGTCGCAGAAACTGACATTTTACAAAACAACTACAAACATATTTGTAGTCCAATTAGTCAGAAGTGTCTCCTGCACACCATACAGCACTTGGGACCTTTAATGCTATGGAATAGCAATGGTGCTCATTACCATCATATTTGTAGTCCGGCCTGGGTGGCAACCATAGCCCCCTAAATAGATACAGTGGAAGAGTAAGTGTAGCCACCAAGGGACAAGAATTGTATTATTCGCATGACTATCTCGTTAATATTGAGGAAAAAAGTCTGAAAAAGAAAACTAATGCAACCATCATATCTGGTTAGCTGTGATAAGTTACATATTTATTTTTGGGTTTAACCCTTTCGCTGCCAAGGACGTACGGCGTACGGAGCTACAAAAGTGCTTCCAGCTGGCCAGCTCAGTATGCCGTACGGACCTGGCATTTACAGTTCTACTATAAAAAATTAACTGTGGCAGCGCATGGCAAAGCTTTGTGACTCATTGCCATGCGTTGTGATACCTTGTGTTGCAATTAAATATACACCTGTATCATTTTATCACAACACAAACACCAAAACAATTTTTTACATAAGTTGATTTACAGTTTTGCATACCTTCATTTTTTTACCTTTTCGCAAAAAGGCGCAATTACAAATTTGCTAATAATTTGTTATTTATTAACTCAATACAGTTTTATCTTTTAGATTTAGTCAGAAAATACTTTTTTTGTGCACAGATACTGATTTTGGTGTGTTTTAACAATTGAATTGTGTATTTTTATCGATTTAATATTAATTTGAGAAACATTTGCGCAATTATCGCACGGCCTACAAATTTAGTATCACTATCTTTTTGTTCTACCGGGCCTGCGCTTTCAGAAAATATATGGTTTGGGGGGTCTTTTACAAATGCTAGCAACGCAGCAGTTGAAAATCAAATCAATAGGAAAAAATTGCAGAAAATTCAAAACTGGCTTGGCCAGCTGATTTGAAAAATGTTTCGGAGGGCTTGGCAGCGAAAGGGTTAAAGACACTTTAAAATAAACCTAAATGTAACAGCAGTGCTAAAGTACCTGTGTTAGTCCTTAAAATGGATTCCTGTGACCTTCTAGAACCCTTTGAATTCCAGACTTCTGGCCAAGTTGAGACTGAGTTCCAACTTTTCTTGGAAGTTATGCCCGTTCACTGTCATTTAGTTGCCATGCCAATGTCAAAGCCTCTTCTGTCCACTCGGGCATTTTGACAGCATTCGAGGCTCGGGCATTTGACAGCTAAATGACAGCGTAGGGTTTAGTGCCAAATAGGGACCAGGGCTTAAAGAGAAACTGTCACCTTGCCCATGTAAGGCTAAGTATCTCTGCAAATGGTCCCTCGACCCCTGAGTACTGACCTTATAAGTGATTTCTTACCACTATTTCCTCCTCTGCAGCTGGCACTGAAATGATTGGTGTCGGTGACCAGGGGGAGCAGTGAGGTCTTTCCCCCAATAATGTGACAGTGCTCTGGCATAGTCATTGCCTGCTATACCCGAGCACAGTCCAGGGAGGTCATATGTTCCTTAATGTCTGGGGAAAGGGAGGCATGGTCAGATGAATATGAGTGGTCAGGGGGATGGAGGTGACAATGTTTCTGTGCCAAAGTACAAAACATAAAGAAACTTGAAATGCACTCCTTTCACTCCTTTTTTCTGGGGTTCATGTGACTTGTCCTGTGGTAGACCCTGCATGGTCAGCAGTCATGTTTGGGTGGTTCCAGCAACTATTTTGTCTGTCATCACATGTGGTGAAAGATGAACTATGACAAACAAAAGGATCTGAAAATGTAGTTCGGGGGTCAAGAGAAAACAGAAAACGAAAAGAGCGTGAAATGGGCAAAAAAAACTAGTAACTGAGAAGACACAGTAATGACAGCAAATATTTCAAGTAGGTGGAAAGAATAAAGAGGGAATGAGAGTTTACTATAGACATGACAAATTCCAGGATTGCCAAGCGACCAGTCTGGCTTAAAGAGGCACTGAGAAAGAAGAGGGGATGTTAAGAAGTGGCCTGAGATGCATTACAAACATACTGCACAGATGCACATACCAGTCTCATGGCTCATTTTGGATAGGAGAAGGGTAAGGATTTGAGGATTTGCCGACATTTTGGCATAGTGAAGGACATCATGGCCCAAGGCATCTGTTGGTGTCAGACTGGCTCCTCTATGCACCAAAAGATCCACCATATTGAACTGTCCGGCTTCACACGCCAACATCAGAGGAGACCTGGCAGAGGAATAATGAAAACATCACATGTATACAGTTCTAAGACAGTCATGCTCACCACACCTAATAAAGACTAGTGTGGCCCCCAGATCACTGCAAACCAAAAAATGTTCAAAAGTAAGCAAATTAACCCCTTTTTTATCACCTTCTAATGTCACAGGTTTGGAGAAAATGATAAGGACAGGGAGGTAAGCATTGCCTATTTTTTACCTATAGAGGTTTTAGAGTATTTTGTGAAATCACATGCCTGTATTGGTTAGGCTCCACCTCGATATGATCTACACCTTGTCTCTGGTTTAGTGGTATCTCCTCTATAGATAAGCTTCCGGTTGACCATGAGTTCAACTTCAACCCAACGTCTTTGCAGTTCGCCAAATGGTTGAATGATTTGGCCAGTTCGCCCTCCAAACCTATCACTGTGTCCTAGCAATGAATGACATTGTGCAGCTTGCACTGAATCATTGGCTGACTGCTGGCTGTGCTACACAGTGTCATTGGTTGCTAGGACGCAGGCAGACACAACATAGAAACCATCACCACTAAGGGGCCCACAGCATCTTAGCAACCAATGACACTGTGTGGGCAGCACAGTGTTATTGTTTGCTAAGACACTGATGGACGCACATTGTCATTGGTTGATATGGCACATCCTACTACGTCCTAGCAACCAATGATGATGTGCGGCCCGTCCACTAGCGTCCAAGAGAACGGAACCCATTCCAGTTCGTGCATCATTAATCTATTCCCTTGCCTCTTGTAGTTGAAAGGAGGTTACATGACTCAAGAGTTTGATGTCAATTGCCGGAATGTTCTGAATAACGCTACACCCTAAAGCAGCGGTCCTCAACCCTTTCGGCACCAGTTTTTTGTGAAGAAAATCTTTCCACTGAAAAAACGGTAAAACTGTTGGCTTTACAGTGTAAAACCAGCAGCTAATGCTAGTGAGAGAGAGTTTCAGATATATAATTTTTTTGCACACAGTTATCCTTTAAAGGAGAACTATGCGACAATATTGTTGGGATCCACCCCGCTGGCTAATTGACAGCTGGCTCTGCCTCTGTGCCCGCCCCCTCCCCTGTCCGTTCCTCCAGTCGATGCTGGAGGAACAGAGAGGGGAGGGGTGAATGCATGAGGGGAGCAGTGACTGACAGTCACCACTTTCTGCAGGGAGAGGATCGGGAAGTCAGGGGCTCTCTGCAGGTAGAGGATCGGGAAGTCAGGGGCTCTCTGCAGGGAGAGGATCGGGAAGTCAGCGATCGGCGGTGTGTGTTCGCTGACTTCCCGATCAATCGAGCCGACGTGCGACAGCTTCAGTATCACAGGTTGGCTTGAATTATGGGGAAGAGTGTTTTACAGTGTTTTCTCCTTTAAGCATATAATAGGGATTAATGCTTCTCTGCATGTACATGTCAGGGAGCCTGTACATTCCTATGTTGCATGTTGATAAAAGTTTTTATCTCAAAAATGCACATAATTATTTGGCTATTTTTATCTGCATTTGCCTCCTCGCCTGCCAATGCCGTTTTCTATTTTTAAATGTGAATTTTCAGCAGGAACACATTCACATTCTTTACTCACGGATAAAGAATGCAAAAATCCAACGTTTCATCAGCTAGGAAGATCTACGAGACGTAACAATGAGGCATCTATTTTAAACAGCCATTAATCCTTCCAAAATAAAGTGCAGACTGCCCAACTCCAACTCAATCCTTTAAAAACATACCTCAAGCTGTGCACTGAAATTCTTCCTCCATGAGACAATGTGTATCTGTAAACAGTGACTGCCTCACTATCGGACTCTTATCAGTAAGATGAGAGGACATATGATCCATAGATTTTCAAGGAATGAGATATAGGGTTGTTATGTAACCTGAACCAAAAAGGCTTAAAGTGGACTCATCACCTACACATTTCATGGGAACCTAGAGTCTCCATAAAGCCCATTTCCACCTTTGCGGGGGCGTTTAAAAAAAAAAAACCATATGTCAGCAATGTACACGGTGAGTAGACACAATGTATTTTTGAAACGCCCACCAGACTGCTGTGTACAGTGGAAGGTTAAATGCTTGTTTTTGCCTAAAAAAGTTATACTCCTCTGAGCCGGCTGGCTCTTGGACCGGTCCCTGGAGCCTCTCTTCCCCTGTGCTGCAGTGGTCTAAGGTCCCTGTGTCATCTTGTTCTATGTGTTTATGTATTTACTTCTGCGCTAAATAAGTGAATAAAGTGATAAAGAAATAAGGTGATGAAAGAGCTGCTGCGCAATAGACAACTAAGTCCAATCGATGATTTTACCAGGTGTGCAGCGCTAATCATATAAGCAACAAGTATGTGAAATAAACTTTGTGATGGGCTAAATCCGTGTATGTGTCTAATATTTTAACTACTAATTACCCAACCGTGGTGGTTGTGAACAAATAAATAAAGGTTCAACCTCAATATGTCTAGGTCACTCTATAATTCAGGGCTATCTCGTGCCCAAACAACATGTGTCAAACATAAAATCGTAACAGATGTGAATCGTAATCAATATAAATGTGATTATAAGTTAATAAACCTCTATTAGTGGATAAGTGACAAAATACATAACTTAATTATGCATCCGTAATCCCAATATCCCTTTGCTTAATAATAATGAAACACCGTGAATAGTCCATGTGTTAATATGACAATCTTTGTGCAACAAAAACATTCCTCCAATCTGTGCGCTGATTGTGAAGCCCCCGATCACGGGGGTTCTGTGAAAGTTTGTTGGGGATTTGAGCAAGTGCCACAAGTCTCCCCTCAAAGTGTGCACTCACCGTACTTTGATGGCTGTGACAAGCAGCCAAAAAGCGCTTATGTAATATCTCACGGAGCTGCAGCGCCCTCACTGTGTCTTGCTCTGATCGATATCCAAAGTATGACGTGTCTCCAAACTCATGTAAAGAAAGATCTCCTCATTGTGTTGTATTTCCAAAGATATTTATTTAAATCCAATAAAAAGGTTACAAAGTCTCTGCCGGCCAGTTAGATGGTGTACCAACGAACTTCTGTATTTGGTATGATGTAGAATAGGCCCGCCCCTACGCGTTTCGTCGTTACGACGTCTTCAGGGGGTTAAGCAGGTCTATCCTGTCACACCAAAATCATATCTTTTATAGTGAATCTAATTGGCACATTACCTGGATAACACCACTAGACATCTAGTGGTGTTATCCAGTTAATGTGCCAATTAGAATTAGACATCTAGTGGTGTTATCCAGTTAATGTGCCAATTAGAATTAGACATCTAATGGTGTTATCCAGTTAATGTGCCAATTAGATTCACTATAAAAGATAGGATTTTGGTGTGACAGGATAGACCTGCTTAACCCCCTGAAGACGTAACGACGAAACGCGTAGGGGCGGGCCTATTCTACATCATACCAAATACGGAAGTTCGTTGGTACACCATCTAACCGGGCGGCAGAGACTTTGTAACCTTTTTATTGGATTTAAATAAATATCTTTGGAAATACAACACAATGAAGAGTTCTTTCTTTACATGAGTTTGGAGACACGTCACACTTTGGATATCGATCAGAGCAAGACACAGTGAGGGCGCTGCAGCTCCGTGAGATATTACATAAGCGCTTTTTGGCTGCTTGTCACAGCCATCAAAGTACGGTGAGTGCACACTTTGAGGGGAGACTTGTGGCACTTGCTCAAATCCCCAACAAACTTTCACAGAACCCCCGTGATCGGGGGCTTCACAATCAGCGCACAGATTGGAGGAATGTTTTTGTTGCACAAAGATTGTCATATTAACACATGGACTATTCACGGTGTTTCATTATTATTAAGCAAAGGGATATTGGGATTACGAATGCATAATTAAGTTATGTATTTTGTCACTTATCCACTAATAGAGGTTTATTAACTAATAATCACATTTATATTGATTACGATTCACATCTGTTACGATTTTATGTTTGACACATGTTGTTTGGGCACGAGATAGCCCTGAATTATAGAGTGACCTAGACATATTGAGGTTGACCCTTTATTCATTTGTTCACAACCACCACGGTTGGGTAATTAGTAGTTAAAATATTAGACACATACACGGATTTAGCCCATCACAAAGTTTATTTCACATACTTGTTGCTTATATGATTAGCGCTGCACACCTGGTAAAATCATCTTGTTCTATAACACTGTATAGAATGTGAGGATGCCTAGGAACATTCCATTGCTGCAGTGGAGGATGAAGAGATTGACAGGAGGGAGTGCTGTCACAGCCGGCCAGCTGCAAGCATCGTGTGAGTATATTTTTTTCTTATTTTGTAACCTAGACAAAACCGAGCACTTAGTGCCTGGGTAGCCCCACTGCAAGGGTTAAGAAAAATGTTACCCAGAGTTCTGCTTTAAAGGAGAACTATGAGGTGAGCGAAAATCATTCATCCTCATAGTTCGGGCTGATGTGTGACAATGAAACTGTCACATGTCGGTTCAATAGATCGGGAAGTGAGCAAACGCATAACGTCACTCACTCACCGTGACTGACAGTCCCCGCAGGGATTCCTCCCCTCCCCTCTCCGATCCCCCAGCACTGACTGGAGAAACAGACGGGGGAGGGGTCGGGTACAGCTGGCTCGGCCTCTGGATAGGCAGAGCCAGCTGTCACTCGCACAGCTGGGTGGATCTCGACAGTAATGTCGGGATCTGTCCCGGCTGCGGCGGTCTCAGTATACTGCGAGCTGTGGCTCGCCATATACTAATTTTTGGGGAGTCAAACAGCAAAAGTTTTCCTGGCACACTCACAAGCTAACATGTAAAAAAAACTTGTCTCACACTAAAGGTTAAAAACAGAGGTTTGGACACACGTCTTCTGCAGAAAATGTGAAATTCGAATTGATGAGTGTGTTTGTCATCTGTTTTGCTTGACTGATCTGGTGCAGTGATGCATGGAGGGTCTCAGCTGCCATTGGGATGTGCGGGATCCCTTGTGTGTCTCTGTGCCTTTAAGGGAGGTTGGGCTTCCTCCTGACAAACCTGCACCCAATTTTATCTTCTGCCCCATGTGCTCCAAGATGGAGACTCTGATAGTTTAGAGTTAGGACCGCACTATAAGAGGTGCCTTGGCGCGGCTTTCACATTTTCTACAGAAGACGTGTATCCAAACCTCTGTTTTTAACCAAGTTTTTTTTTACATGCTGGCTTGTGAGTGTGCCAGGAAAACTTTTTGCTGTTGTACTGTTTAAAGCCCACTGCATGTGCACCTTGCTGTAAAGCTGGTGACGAATTGATGAGTGCGTTTGTCATCTGTTTTGCTATACTGAGCTTTGGGTCACGGGAGGATGCTAGTATATGTCCTCCCGTGACCCTTAAGAGAACTATGGGGAAAAACACTTACCTCAAACTTCTCTATTAAGGCAATATTGACTACAATATATTTAGTTATAAATAAAAAAAATGGTGTTACCCTACAGCCAAACTTCTACTTTTGTCAATAACAAGCATTTTCTACACTCATCGGCGCCATCTAGGGGTTGCCAGTGGTGCGCGAACGGCATTCGCCCGACTATACACCAGGTGGAACTTTTATAAACCAAACCCTTTAAGTTTAAAGGCCAGACAAGGATCTCTTGACCCCTGCTACAGACCGTACTATATCGCCAATATGTAATGTAGGATATTCTTACCAACATATAGACTATCGATATACTTACTTCCCATTCTTGTCTGTGAGGTTTACATCAGCCTTATGATCCAAGAGACACTTGCAGGCTTCTAAGTGACCATACTGCACTGAGATAAGCAGAGGAGTGTTCCCATCCTGTAAAACATGGAGGATTAAAGTGTAGGTAATCCCAAGAACTAACATGGAATATACACTTGCCAGTCCTGAGAAATGCATGGACTGCATATGTTCTCTTCTTTTCCTGTACTTTCACCTGGTGATCCTGCCAGTGATACACTTCCCGTCATAGGGTGACAATGCTCATTTCCTAGACCATATCGATGCAGAAGCTGCATTGTCACCCTAGGATGGGAAGTGTGTTGTAAATACAGAGCACCTCCTCTCTTCTCATTTGCATAACACAGGGAAGGTGTTTTATAGTCCGCAAAGATAGCTGGAAACAGTGTAAATTATAACACTCAGAACAGGCAGAGTGCACAGGAAGTTTACTAGATTTCTGGCAGGATCCACAGGTGTTTTTATGCACTTATGGAACAGATATCACTTTCAATGGTATAAAGCAAAAGAGAGTAAATAAGAGAAGTTTATTGCTAAACTGGCCATATTGAATTTCATTTCCAGCTAAATAGGGCAAAATTAAATCTGTGGATGGCCTTGCCGCTGGGGATGCACAGATACCCGTTTTTCGGTATTGAGTACCAATATTTTTTTTCCGGTACTCGCCAATACAGATACCGGAAGTTCCATAAAGGAAGCCAGGTGGCGTGTAATGACTCAAAACCGGGCAATGACTCGCCGTCCGGTATCCTGATTGGCCAGCTTTTCGACCAATCAGGAAGCCAGACGGCAAGTCATTACATGGCACCCGACTTCCTGCTTGGCCGGGAAGCCAGCTCCATGCTACCTTGTCACCAGGTGATGAGGGAGCATGAAGCTGGCTTTCTGGCCAATCAGGAAGCCGGGGGTGGGTAATTACTCGCCGTCCAGCTTCCTCATTGACCATCTTCCCTACCAATCAGGAAGCCAAGTGACGAAGGAGCATGGAGTCGGCTTCCTGGCCAATCAGGAAGCAGGGCATCATGTAACGACTCGCTGCTCGACTTCCTGATACCGGAAGTTCGGGTATCGGGCTAGGCATCGGAGCATTTGGCCAAATACTCGGTATCAGTGCATCCCTACTTGCCGCTACCACCAAGCTTGACAAAAGTCAATTTTTCAATCGTTTTTTGTCAAAGGGGCTTGTCAGGCGAACAAAGATTGCAGCCAATTAGCTGCAGTCACTGTTTGGGTATTCTGACAGTCGCAGGCGTTGGCTATCAGATTACAATAGCCAGCAGGGGAGGTTCCTTCATCCACGCTGTTTAGTGTAGATGGAGGAATCATACGATTTATCTCGTTCAGCCTCGAGGGGGTTAATGTGTATAGCCAGCTTTTGGGTTTACACATACCGTATATATAATACCGAGTCACATAACTGTAGTATCAAGCAATGAAAGATTGATACCAGCTGCACTCCATTCAGCGCTATTAACTCAATATATGGTGGTGCTCATAGTGACAGCCATGGATGACACCATGCAGATTTACTATGTCACCTTGAGGAAGCCCTGTAACGTTGGCTCACGTGACTAATGTGACGCATTACCAATATACAAGAGTACGTTTTGCACATGAGTACTGAGTGCAGGTGACGTCTCACTTTTGTTCTTCTATCGTGCCAACACAAATTTCCACTCCAAGTTTCCTTTACAAAGCAAATATCATTCTGGTTGTAAAGCCAACAGTGAGGTGTACACAGACACATGTGTCCTTCCTATCCCGTGTGTAAACTGTCTTTGACTTCACTGCTGGTTTCTGCATTTTATTTATTAGTCAGAGTGTACATTATAATCTTCACTAAAAGCCTATATTTATAGGTCTCCGAAATTATACAGCGAAGAGAGTACGTCTGGCACTGATGAGAAGATGAAAGCTTAACAGGTCAGTCATTATCCAGATCAGTAGGATAAGTAATATCTTACACAGCACAAAGAGGAGGATAAGAGGACAGGAAACTGGAGAGCGGAGCAGATAATACTAGAGAGGCGGCCAGGATGCCAAGCTGAGCTTCTGAGCTTCTTATCCCATTACTGAACAACTCAACTGATGAACCAAATACGTAAAAGAAGCCACCAAGGGCTCCCAAAGGATGACCAGATGCCTCTGTTTTATAGGACGGTTCCTGTTTTTACACGGTTGTCCCCAGGCTAAAAATGTCCTAATTGTGTTTCTGGATAGGAAGACATCTGATGACGGATATTAAACTTTAGTGAAACTTGACTTTTACTTCTCAACGTTGAGAAGACAACCACAACCATTGAAGACAAAGACAACCATTTTCTTGTGCCCTTTATTGTTAACAGCATATTTAAAGCTCGACTCTGTGATTTTTCATAAGAAACACTTCTAGATCCCCCCCCCCCTCTCCACACACACACAAGGGCTAAATGCTTGATACATCTAGGAATAGAGGAATAAACTGTAATACTTACCTTGTTCCGGTAGGCTCCAGGGCTCTACTTTTCTCTCCGTGTTGTGGATGTGCCCTTGCTGCCCTTTCGTACAATGCAGGATTACAGTCTGCCTTCTGAGGAGCTTTACCCTATCCATTTGTCTTGGTGACCATTGTCACCAAATTATAAAAAAAATCCAAAATTTTACAAAAATCTTCTCATGGAGGACATCTGTCCCAGTGACAACTATCTAAGAGGGCATTCCTTTCACTTTGGAGAGATTTCCTCTCACTTCCTGTTGTGCCCCTTAAACAGGAAGAGAAATAAATGTTCCCCCGTGGGACATGGCCAGCAGATCAAAAAAGAAATGTAATGGATTTTTTACCATCCCCAACTTTATCAAAAAGAAAATTTGATTTGCATTACTGCAACACAATACAATGTACCTCCTGTGTGTTGCATTGCATTCTTAAAAAAAGGATCATGTACATTGTTTTCTTCCATTGTGGTGTGCTGGCAGCCCATCCATAAGGAATGGGATACCATAATGCATTGCACATTGACGTGTGTGTGTTAAAGGACCACAATGGATCGCTGAAGTGGGACTATTGCCTTGGGGCTCCTCTACGCTATGTGCACTGACCCGGGCTTTTCTGCAAGAAGGAATGTCACCACCAGGGCACACAGAGAACAATACATAGAAATCATTTTTGCTAATGGGGCAATCCCAGCTTCTGAGGCCAAAGGTCTACTTACTTTTTACACAGTACACCTATTAAAATTTTTGTTTAATAAGTCATAAAAAAAAGGGCATTTTTTTCTGTCGTTCCTATTTAAGTATATTACCTTTGTCTGTAGGTACTGCTTGAATAAAGATCTACAGGGTTATTCACACCACTCCAAGCTGGCTCCTGTGATGGACTACAATCTCATGTTTAGTTTACTCATTTGTAGTGAGATTGTAGTCCATCATGGGAGTGAGCTTGGAGTGGTGGCTACTTAACAACACACACAGGGACCATGGGGAACAAAAGTAGCCACCCTCCAGAAGGAAGGACAGTGTCAGCACCAATTCAGAGATGATTTGAGGATCTACAGCCGAGTGATACACAAATAAGATACATTTTTGTTATTAAAGTACTTGAATGCAGTTTTAAGATTTAACTCCTGAGTTTAGTGTCACTTTAAAAATAAAACAGGCTTATGTTCGTTTAGTTTGGAACCAGTTTGGCAATGGAAGAAGTGCGGGCCATGTGCTCTAATCTCCAGTGCACGCGTTCCAACATTTCTTTCAGAACTCAATGCTAAATCCATTAAAGGAGATTCCATCTCGTGATGCTGTCCTGGAAGACGTTATGGGAAATAGCTAATCCTCTTGTATACAAAGATCGGCCGTGTTATATAATAACCAGAGCACAGGGAAAAGATGTAATGTAAACCCCGAGCATGACCATCAATGACATGCCAAAGTGTATTGTCAGAAAGGACTGCCATATGCTGGCTTCTTCCAGTTACTGCATCATGAAAACACAAAGGACCTGTACCTACTTCCTTGTAGAGAAAATTCAAATTGTTTAACCACTTGCTGACCGCGGTCTTTACACCCCCTTCCGGCCCAGGAAATTTTTCAGTATTCAGCGCTGCGGTACTTTGACTGACATTTATTCCGTCATGCAACGCTGTACTGAAATTCATTTTATACCATTTTTTGGGGACAGATAGAGCTTTCTTTTGGTGGTATTTAATCACCACTACGGGTTTTTATTTTTTGCTATATAATAAAAAAAAGTACAGAAAATTTTTCCCTACGTTATGTTATAAAACAATTATTATTACCCACATTTCTGGCAAAATATAAAAGGCGTGGTCATGTCGGGTAAATAGACACCAAACATGTCAAGCTTTAAAATTGCGTGTGTCCGCGAACTCGCAAAAACTACCATACCCAAAATTGGCCATAGGCGACACTTTAAAAGCTTTTACCACTCATCAGGTTAGTGTTATCAGCGATTGATGGGCCGAGAATTATTGCTCTCACTGCGATGTTCGTGGCGATACGCAACATTCGCGGCGTAATGGATGCAATCGTCGTTTACGCACTTAGGCACACTCGACGCATGTTTGCATGTGTATGTGGGGGGTGGGGGACTTTAAAAAAAATTACATTTTTTTTACTACCTTTATATGTGACTTTTAATTTATTTTATATTTTTTTTTGTAACGAATTCTTTTAAACATTTTTTTTTCACTTAGCAATAAAGTTATCACATAGGGGACTAACAAGCCCCCTTTGTGATAGCCAATTTTCAGTGACAGGTCCTCTTTATGGAGACATCAGGGGTCTTTAAGACCCCTAATGTCCCCCAGAGAAGCTGATGAAGCAAACACCTGCAATTTTTCAGTATTCAGCGCTGCGGTACTTTGACTGACATTTATTCCGTCATGCAACGCTGTACTGAAATTCATTTTATACCATTTTTTGGGGACAGATAGAGCTTTCTTTTGGTGGTATTTAATCACCACTACGGGTTTTTATTTTTTGCTATATAATAAAAAAAAGTACAGAAAATTTTTCCCTACGTTATGTTATAAAACAATTATTATTACCCACATTTCTGGCAAAATATAAAAGGCGTGGTCATGTCGGGTAAATAGACACCAAACATGTCAAGCTTTAAAATTGCGTGTGTCCGCGAACTCGCAAAAACTACCATACCCAAAATTGGCCATAGGCGACACTTTAAAAGCTTTTACCACTCATCAGGTTAGTGTTATCAGCGATTGATGGGCCGAGAATTATTGCTCTCACTGCGATGTTCGTGGCGATACGCAACATTCGCGGCGTAATGGATGCAATCGTCGTTTACGCACTTAGGCACACTCGACGCATGTTTGCATGTGTATGTGGGGGGTGGGGGACTTTAAAAAAAATTACATTTTTTTTACTACCTTTATATGTGACTTTTAATTTATTTTATATTTTTTTTTGTAACGAATTCTTTTAAACATTTTTTTTTCACTTAGCAATAAAGTTATCACATAGGGGACTAACAAGCCCCCTTTGTGATAGCCAATTTTCAGTGACAGGTCCTCTTTATGGAGACATCAGGGGTCTTTAAGACCCCTAATGTCCCCCAGAGAAGCTGATGAAGCAAACACCTGCTTCACCAGCTACTCTCCAGTTTCTGTACCGGAGAGTGACACTGAATGCAGGCAGTGATGTAATACACATCACTGCCTGCATTCCGAAGAGGAGATCCAACGGAGCTCGTGTACTGAGCTCCGTTTGATCCCCGGCTCACACCGGGCACAGCGAGCTCGGGATTGCCAGCAGCGGCTGCGGAGGAGGGGAGGGGCCGCACAGCCACATGCATATTACAAGCGATCGGGCGTTTCTACAGACGCCCGAACGCTTGTATGTAAACAGCCATCGCCGGCTGTTTACATTGCAGGCTGATTTCCCGCTCGTGCGCGCCGCTACGAGCGGGGCGGGATGGGACGTTTAAAAACAAGAAGGCGCTGTCTGGCCATTTAATTACAATGGCCGGACAGCAGGTGGTTAAAGGAATTGCAAAGTCCCAGCATATCCTCTCCTGTTATAACATCAGCATTGTAATATGAATACATAGTAGTAGAGTTGTTTCTGATAATACAATCAAAGCTTACTTGAAAAAATCCCTTTTGTGTAGTGAGCGCTGCCTTCCCTCTGCCCATCACTTTCACCAACTTCCTGTATTCTCAGTGTGCCTTGTGTCTCTTTACCTGCTGCTTAATGTGATGCAATCTCCATTTCTCAAGACTACATATCCCATCATGCATTGCTTCCAGCAAGCAATGATAATGTTACATTGTTCAGATGTTAAGTTGCAGTTCAGAAGGCCGACTCTCTGGTGACACCAGGAAGTACATATCCACAGGGCTGAGTGACATTGTGTCAGTGCATTGAGGAAGTACACACTACTTAGCTCGAATGTGGCAATGAGAGAAATCTAACTCTGTATGGGCAGCTTTACTGATCTGTTGATTTTTGGTCAGTGTCGACTCATTTTAAAGTTTTATTATTTTTTTGTTGCCATTATTATCTTTTTTAAGTACTGCCATTACCCTCCAGGCACTGTAGAGTGGCATATACAAGAAGCATGAATGTACTCTTAAAACTAGGCAGGAGAAAGAGGAATGTGGGTCCTTACGGTCTAATAGGTAACTAGGAATGGTACATAGATACATAGATACAAGGTGCATTACATTTAATATGCTACATCCAAAATATGACACCAATTAAAATTCATTCAAAGAACGGACCCAGCCAGTACAGAGGAAAGATATACTCCTTATAACATTTTCTAATTGTAACGTATATGCAGTGTAATAGTTATGTGCTGTCCCCTGCCAATCAGAGGCTCTGCCTAAAGTCATCGCTGGTCACATGACCTGGAATTGGCCAAAATCAGGATTCAGCCGTTTATGTATAAAGATGCAAAGGAGCCTTCTTAAAGCTGAAGTCAACAAAATACCCTTGCAGTGGTGCCCCCCGCACTGCAAGGGTTAAATGCTGGTTGAATCTAGGGGTATAGCAAGGGTGGGCAACTCCAGCCCTCCAGCTGTTGTGGAACTACAAGTCCCATGAGGCATTGCAAGACTGACAGTTACAGGCATGACTGGGATTTGTAGTTAAAGCTCCCCCCGGGGGAGAGGAATGTGCTGTATTATTTACCCTAATCCTCGCTCAACCAGTGCTCTCCTCTTCTCTTCAATGCTCTAGGTTGTGGGTGGGCCCGGACTCTCCTCACGAACAATGCAGGACTGCTGGCCCTGCACAGAACACGATGACATCAGAATGCGACCACCCGCTGTAATGCCGAAGAGAAGAGACCTCTGGAACCGGTCGCACAGCATGGCGTAAGCTTATCGGAGTGAGGGGTTCAGTAACTATTACTGTTTATTCCTCTTATACCTCAAAACCTAATGAGCATTTACCCCTTTTTATGCTGCCCGGTGCGGGGCTTTAAATCAGAAGGTATCCGCATCAACAATCCGATATCATCACGATATCAACAATCCGAGAATAAGGGGTTTATTCCTCATTTTAGGATACAAGATGGAGCGGTGCAAATCATGACAGTTGTGACTCCCCCCTGCTGAAATGAGGAACAAACCCCGGATTTTTTGGATTGGTGACATATGCAGATAACCTTCTGTATTAAGAAGGCTCTGCCAAGCACCACACTGGTCTAGCAGAAACCAGTACCACTTCAACCAGTATTATACTTTTCCATAAGGAAGCAGCAGCACTCATTGTAAAATTAAAATGTAGAATATAATTCAGCCTATAGAGTGAAAATACGACATGACTTTATTATTTATTCTTTTCTTACCGAATCTTTGACGGTCAGAAGGCATTTGTTTTCGCACAAGACTTGCAGCATTGGAAGATTGCCATTAGCAGCTGGTGAAAAAAAAAATGATGTGGTCAGATAGCACTATATTATGTACTATGGGTAGCAATAACGTTATGAAGACATCTTATAAATTATTTCTGATTCACTGTCTGTGAGTTGCTATTATGTGTTGTTATCCTTCATTCGTAGAAGTTCATGAGCTTTTCTAAAATGGATTTGGTGTTAGGCAGCCATTCAAGGAGGACAGACCCGACCCGTGCATGGGGGGACAGCAGAGCTAGGGATTGCGGGCAGTGACGGCAGGGGGGGCAAACATTCACCATCATCATACAAGCAGCTCTATAGCCACTCGAACGCCTGTATGTAACAGCCATTAATGGCTGTGAATAATTACACCAAGATCACGGCTGTAGCAGGCGTGATCTTGGTATAACCGCTCCAGGTTGCCGCCGTTTATTTACGTACTGCGGTCCTGAAGAGGTTAAAGCCAATCTTTGGTTAGGTTAATGGAGTCAAAAGCATAAGTGCCCTTTGTCTTCAAGGGCACTTATCCTTTAATCATGATGGAAGATAGTCCTTATGGGGTACATTCTCTAAGTTGGATATGCCAACTGCACTTGCTGTCTAAATACATGTGTACGCGACATGGGTATTCATACTTAAATGGTGGTGTAATTTGTGTATTTCTGCCAGATCTATAAAGTAATCCAGTGTTAAACAACTCCTGTACTATGCCTCTGTGCAGGAACTTCCTGTAATAAGGACCGGTCACTGTTGCTCTCTCTCACTGTGCAGGGTGACTGGTCTGGTCTCCGCCCCCAACTGTAATAAAGAGCGGTCACTGCTGCTCTCTCTCCTTGTGCAGGGTGACTGGTTTGGTCTCCGCCCCCACCTGTAATAAAGATCTCTTCCTGCACAGGCTATGTACAGCTCAGTGATGATATCACCAGTATTTTTACAGGGTAATGTCTGATTATGACATTCAGGGGCCACACAGTGTGTTTATATACTTTGTTACTATTGCTGCATGCTGGGGCCCCGTTCGCTCATATGGGTGAGCTATATTCCAGCTATCTATCCTAATACAGTTCACCCAAAATGATTAATTGGCCAAAAAGTGGCACATTTTTCGCGAGAAAGGCTTACGGTGCCAGACAGGGCGGCACAGAAAGGATTGGACTGAAATGGGGAAGAGGGGAGGCAAGGTAAGTTATAGTATAGCAGGCTGCACTAAGGGGGGCAATCATGCTCAGTGCCCGTACACTAAAAGTGAATTCAAAACAACATTTTGTGCCCAAAGTTCAGCTTTAAGCATTTACAGTTCTCATATGGCAAATCAATTATTTTATTATGAATTCACTTTTGAATTCTCTATGGTGGCATTTCTCAATGAGGGTGCTGTAGCACCCTGGGGTGCCTTCTGGCCACCTCAGGGGTGCTTCCAAATTTTGTAATGGTAGAACACTGATGTGAAGAGGGGGACTGAGGACTATGATGTGAAAGGGGCTCCTTGTGTAAAGGGGAAACTTTGATGTGAAATGGGGGACTCTGATATTAAAGAGGAGATCCTGACGTGAAAGAGGGTGCTTCTGATGTGAATGGGGGCTACTGATGTAAAGGTCGACTCTGATGTGATGGCGGAATCCTTAACTGAAGGGGGAACTTTGATGTGAAGGAAGAACACCATTTGTTGAGAAGAAAATGTTTATGATAATTAATCTTTCGAAGTTAAAGTGATACTAAAGTCAGGAATTAAATCATAAAAATACATTCAAGTACCTTAAAGCGGGCCTTTACACTCAAAAATCAGATTGCACCAATGCATTCCTCTATATATGATGATTAATAATAACATAGACATGTCAGGTGTAAAATGCTGTGATTGTGAATTACTTACACTTGCAGAGCATTCAATTCCAGCTTTGAATGGGCAAAATTAACTCAGTTTGACAAAACAATGCACACTGGGATTGCGTTGTCATCAGCAGAGCATTGCTGGGAAATCTCATCTGTAATCTCACGAGATCTTAGGGAAAGGCATTTTCCTCCCCTGAGATGTGGCAGAAATCAGGAAGTGAAATGAGAGCTAGTAATCTGCCCTTAGTAAACATGGCCACTGTCAGAAGACTGGGGAAGAAAAGAGAAATAAAGTATGCAAAGAATACAAAGCCGGCAATCTAGAAGTATGTGTTTGTAGATTCTCATTACTAAACATTTCTATAGTTGTATTTGTTGTCATTTTAAAGCTATGGGTCCGCTTTAACTATTAACAAAAATGTATCTTATTTGTGTATCACTCGGCTGTAGATCATCAAATCATCTCTGAATTGGTGCTGACACTGTCCTTCATTCTGGAGGGGGGCTACTTTTGTTCCCCATGGTCCCGTATGTGTTGTAACATAGTCACCGCTCCAAGCTCGCTCCTGTGATGGACTACAATCTCATGTTTAGTTTCCTAATTTGTAATGAGATTGTAGAAGGAAGGACAGTGTCAGCACCAATTCAGAGATGATTTGAGGATCTACAGCTGAGTGATACACAAATAAGACACATTTTTGACAATAGTTAAGGTAGTTGAATGTATTTTTAAGATTTAATTGCGGAGTTCAGTGTCACTTTAAGCTGACCAGACACCAAAAGAATTTTAGAATTTTTAGCAGATTTTTGTTTGAATACATTTTCCTATTAGACAATGCTGGTCAGAACGATTATCGTGTCGGAATGTAGCGAGTGTAAGGAGTGGGATGAAATATGTTTTTGTTTTTCATTTGGGAAATTCAATTTTTTCCCAAAATTGAATGTTAAAATCAAATGAGATTTCAAAAGACTCTCGTCACATCTTTGATGGCATTACCAAATGTGCTGTCGAGATTTTTAGTATGAATGTTCGTGAACGAATATCTACCAGTGTATAGCAAGCTTTAGACCCCCCCTGTGTTTCACACGGCCCCTGCTGTGAAGAATTAACCCTTAACAGCGATATCAGGCATTGAGTTTCAGCCACAAAGCAAGACAAGTATAACAAAATTTACAGAAGTAAAACAGAATCTGGAAACATACCTGCATAATGCACACATGTCCTCCCGCCGTTGTCCATGCATTCCGTAGGACATTTAGACTGTGAAAGAGCAAGACTGTGCATTTCAGTAATCAAAACATAGGCTTGAGGAAGAGTGAGAGCAATAAAAGTTCAGCATAAACTATCTGTGCTACAAAATGTCTAGGATGCATTCCTTTGTGCGGGTAGCCATTGAGAATATGGCGAGTGGCCTTTGCATTGTAGTTTACAGCTTAGTGCAAACATGCCTGGAATGTGAAGATTTTTGGAAGGGTCAGACGCAGCACACCTTTACCGATCAATCTATGCTGGATGGAGGTTGCACAAAAACTCTCTTCTCAGGTTTGCACACGTCAGGGTCAACGTATGTGGAACAGCTGCGTGGGGAGCCCGGATCAATCCACCGACTTGGTATTATACGGGGTGGATTATTTTGGTTACTTTGGAAGGTTTACTGAAAGAGAAATGTAAGCTAAATGTCCCTCATTGTATTCAAGAATGTAGATCGTCTGCTGAATTGAAGTATATCTACGGCCAATTTTTTCAAAATTTTGAATAGAGCAGGAAACAAATTTTTGAAACCACTTTCCTTGTTGGAGCAAATTAGACCATGTTTTTACCTTCCTCTGGATCAACTCTGGGTTAAAGAAGAACATGAGCGTTCTCCCACCCATACCACCACCACTCTCTTCTTGCCAGTAAGTCATCCTTGGATTCTTCTTCTCTCCGGTGGGGGCTGGCATTGAAGACTTAGCTCATTATGTGAGTGCCACACAGTCCTGGAGTGCTGCAAGCCTAATCTGCATGATGACACACCCCTTGGGAGGGCATGTAAATGACAGGCTGGGCTCACAGGAAGTGAGCAGAAGAGAGAGAGCAAGGAGAGATAGCCAGGAGAGCGAGCGAGCGAGGGTTTTTTTCGTTGGTAGATCTCATGTAGCTCGTCATTTAAAAAGTAGATCTTAACACAAAAAATTGTGGGCACCCCTGCTGTAGGAGATGTTGTAAACTGTAGACATGCTATAGGAGTTGTTGGAGATTGTGGACACGCTAATTTAACTTTCACTGGCCTGATAATGCAGCAAAATAGACCACTGTCTGCAGGAGCCGTGAAGGCCAGGCAGTAAATGATAAAGGGGCCCAGAGATCTAGATAAATAAAGTTTTTTGAGGATTTATGCGGTATGTGGCTTTTCCTATGATGACTAAAGGGTAATTATAGCGTCTGAGATTTACATGTAAAAATGGTCAGCGTGATGTAAATAATCTTATCAATATGAGATAAAGCATACCTAAAGCCGAAACTTTTTTTCTAGTTTTGTTTAAAGTGGTGAGGTATCAGAACCTCTGTCAGATTTTCATAGCCCTCTGTGTTTAGTGAGATCCACTATGTTTGTCCTGGTGATGACTGTCACCGGGACTGGGATATATGGAAAATCCAAACTTTTAAAAACTGGGAAGATTTCCCTTCACGTCCTGTCCTGTAGAGGCAACAAAAAGTGAAAAGAAATAATTTCTTACAGTTGACACCAGGTCAAATAGGAGGTTTTCCCCTCTATTGCTGTTCCGGTGACAACACTATATAAATCCTGTATAATAATGGTAATAATAACTCATAATTGTATGGATTTCCCTTTACTTTCAGTCCTGGTGACAGTAGTCACCAGAGCAAACTGAGAGGGTGAATCTCCTTAATGGGGACACAGACAGGAATTACACATTGGCACAGGTTCTAACCCCTCACCACTCTATCCAAAACTAAAAAGAAATAAAAAATGTCTTAGATACAATTGAATTTGTGTACACGTTACTGAGTATCCAGCTATCTTCTTGAAGCAGAGAAGGAAAGGAAGGTCGGTTTACCTGGAGAAGCCTTTTGACGCACTCTATGTGGTTATGTTTCACTGACAAGTGCAGAGCAGTGTGACCTAGAAAACAATAGAATTATTGTGATAGATGGATACAGTACATGACTTCAATGGCAGCTTTAAACAACTACTGCAAGTGATGGAAGAGGGAATAGCCAAGTGTGAAGTGTGTATAACAATGATCTCTGTGCGCACATCTGCCCGATATGAAAGTCTTGCGTTATGAAATCCCACAGACTCTGCACTCACTTGTTTGGAGTCTTTACACATTACATGCTTGAATAGTACACAAAATGCAATGGCTGTGTCACCATTTATATCCCATTTGCAACTACATTTTACCTAACTGATCTCCTGTACTTTTTTTCTCTAAAAAGCAATAGTTAAGCTGTAGGCAGGTGACTGTACCTAGGATAGCAGTGAAATCTGGAGAATTATTTAAAGGAGAACTATGGGGTAAGTGTTTTCCCCCATAGTTCTCTTAAGGGTCACGGGAGGACATATACTAACCTCCTCCTGTGACCCAAAACTCAGTATATCACGAGCTACAGCTCGTGGTATACTGAGACCGCCGCAGCAGGGACGGAACCCGACATTACTGAGATCCACCCATCTGCTTGAGTGACAGCGCTCTCTGCCTATCATGAGGCAGACCCAGCTGTACCCGCCCCTCCCTCCAGTTAGCGCTGGAGGATCGGAGCTTGGGGGGGGGGGAGGGGATCCCTGCAGGGAGCGGTGACTGACTGTGACAGCTCTCAGCAGGGAGATGATCGAGAAGTGAGTGACGGTATGTGTTCACTCACTTCCCGATCGATTGAGCCGACGTGTGACAGTTTCATTGTCACACGTCGGCTCGAACTATGAGGATGAGTGATTTTTCACTCACCTCATAGTTCTCCTTTAATAAGTCAGCAAAACACATGAGGTATGCACTACTCAGCCCCCCCTCTACCCCAACCCTTGTAGCAGTGATCACTCACTGATGACTGTACACTACAACAAGGTGAGAGGCAGTGGCATGTGGCTGATCCAAGTAAACCAATTTTGCATACAGCCAAAAACATAAAAAGTGTACAGTGCAGGCAGTGGGATTTACATGACTGCATTATTCCTGAGCCAACAGTACAGGAAGTAGATGCGGACACCGAATTAAACCAGAACAAAGATGGCTCCATCCCTCTGAGTAGCAGGTGTACATGTACACTTAGCATGCGTGCTTTTAACAAGAAAACTACATATGATGCCAGGTTTTCTTTAATGCCTTTAGAATAATAAATCTTACAATTACTGAGATACCTAAATTATAGAGATTCACTTAGGTGAGTTATGATTTATTTGAATGGCACCCCCAATGCACCTCCTGGCAGCTCTGCGTTACAGCACAGAACAGTGCGCAGAACCACTATACCGTGCATTGTGTTGCGGTGTGGTGAGAAGGACGCACTGTATTGTGCATTTAGAACACTATAGTGTGAACAGGCCCCAAGTCAGCGCCTTTTCTGGATTTAATCAGCCACAGAATCTAAGTAATCCATATCGGTCATATATAGTGACATACATATGTATATCATAGTGTGTCAGTAGTTAACAGGACCACCCCAGATAATAACCAATCCCCAAACATCTAAAACTCAGATCAAATAGGGGGTGAGATGAGGTAAAGTGAGAGCCACACACATACACACACACTAGTAAAACATTTGATGAAATAGGAGACTTGATTTTCTGCATCTAGGTTCACATTTTACAATTAAACAATGGCATTTTTATTATACTTTTTACTTGAAAATGTAGATAAACCCCCTGGAAAGCATCAACGGCACCACATGTGATGGATATTGTAAGACATTCATAAAGTAAGGGATAATAAGCCTTCTGTAGAAAGTCCAAGGCCACAAGCATTGAAATGTCCCACCTGCTCAGTTCCTGGCTGCCTCACTGCTCCATTTGCATTCATTTTCAAAGCTATTAACTCTTTACAAAGTTCTACAAGGAAAGAGTTCGGCTTATTCCATTAGGACTCACTGTGGAAGTGCAGATAGGTCCACATCATCAATGGAAAAGGTGGTATCTGCCATGACAGGGACTCATTATTATCTTGCCCATTGGTGACAGTTGCAAAACCTAGCACTTCTAATCCTTTGCTCTTTTATTTAGAAGAAGAGAAGGATCGAAGGATCTGGACTTACTTGCTGGAAAATCTACTAGTGTGATAACCAGCTACTCCCGCTGCCTGAAGCCGCAAGCATTACTTGATGTTGGGATCATGGCTTGCTTTTAATGAACTGTTAATGAGCATTGTAAAAGTAAACCTGTATTTTGCCTAATGAGGGCAAAGCAACAAGTGCAACTTAAAAGAGAACCATGGGGTAACCTTTTGTATCCCATAGTTCTCTTAAGGGTCACGGGAGGACATATAAGGGCATCCTCCCATGACCCAAAGCTCAGTATATTGCAAGCTACAGCTTGCGGTATACTTAGACCGCCGGAGCCGGGACGGATCCCGATAATGCTGTTGAAATCCACCCAGCTGTGAGTGACAGCGGGCTCTGCCTATCTAGAGGCAGAGCCAACTGTGCCCGCCCCCTCCCCCATCCGTTCCTTCACTCAGCGCTGGAGGATCGTAGAGGGGAGGGGGGAATCCTGATCTATTGAGCCGACGTGTGGCAGTCTCATTGTCACAGGTCGGCTCGAACTCTGAGGATGAGTGATTTTCACTCACCTCATAGTTCTCCTTTAATGCCAGCCCCACCAGCTGTACATACTCACCTTTCTTATGGCTGCTCCCCTGGTGGAAAATGATCTTTGTGGAGCTTACACATGGCTGGGGACCCCTCCCATCCCTATCTGACAAAGCTGGGTGTAGCGGTCTCTCTGCAGAGGTTTAACATGTCCTCTGTTGAGTCAGAGCTAGAACAGAATTGAGCAGGAGCTTTTCTGATTGCAGAGCTGTAGGACTGACTTAGCAGAGAAGTGTGTTGGACCTCTACAGATAATCCACTGCTTCTGCACAGAGAGAAATGGTCATTCTCTACAGTATGCTGAGAGACACAGGCTTTTCTACTCAAACTTTTGCTGCTTAACAAAGAAAATGGAGGCACTGGATGTGGGGGCACACTGGAACCACTGGACATTTTATTTTTTACCTTTTTTATCGTATTTTAATCAGAATTTGTTGCAAGGTACCTGATAGATCCTGAGCACAGACATCCGTCCCGTGTGTCAACATAACCTTGAGACAGTCTGCATTCCCTTTTGTAGCAGCGAGGTGAAAGCTGAAAAGAAAAAGGCAGATTCACGTTACAATCTAGTTCAGTAGCTGCAGTCCATATCTGTCAATTCTTTCAGGAATTTTAAGTACAGAAACTCATGACACAAGAATTCCTTCATATAATCTTTTTCTGGCACGGAAACAAATGCAGATTGCCGCTGGAAACCACTTGTCTATAATGTCATCTTTATGCGCAAATTAATTTAAACGGATTTTATAGATATTCTTTGAAGTTCTTACTAACTGATCAGTTAAGTGTCAACTCAGGCAACTTATTATCCACAATCAGGCCACCGGTCACCCCTCCACTGGTTCTTACAGACAGCCCACCGGGCACCCCTCCACTGGTTCTTAGACAGCCCACCGGGCACCCCTCCACTGGTTCTTATAGACAGCCCACCGGGCACCCCTCCACTGGTTCTTACAGACAGTCCACTGGGCACCCCTCCACTGGTTCTTACAGACAGCCCACCGGGCACCCATCCACTGGTTCTTACAGACACCCCACCGGGCACCCCTCCACTGGTTCTTGACACTGGCTTTCAAAGGGAACTCAGTACAAACAAGGTCCAGAAAGTGGACTGTCTCAAACAAAGCTTACCTCTCGGAAAGGATTGTCACATGGTCAAGTAGAAGCTGCACACATTTTGGCATCCAAGCCCATGTAAAGGCAGCCAACATCCTCCAGCATCAATGTCTGGAGAGCTTTTAAAGCCGAGCTTGGGGGTAATAGAAATCTTTACTATTGCAGTGGGGCTTTCTTCACACTGCAAGGATTAACTGCTCATTTTGTTAGGGATGAGACAATGGTGATGAATATACATACAATATTCCCTGCTCCACCCCCACAGTTCGCTGCTGTCCGACAACACTAGGATGTGGGAGGGCCCTTAGCGTTTTTAAAGTGACACTAAGCTCAGGGGTAAAACCTTAAAACTGCATTCAGGTACCTTACCTATTAACAAACATGTATCTTATTTGTGCATCACTCGACTGTAGATCCTCAAATCATCTCTGAATTGGTGCTGACACTGTCCTTCCTTCTGGAGGGTGGCTACTTCTGTTCCCCATGTTCCCTGTGTGTGTTGTAAAGTAGTCACCGCTCCAAGCTCGCTCCTGTGATGGACTACAATCTCATGTTTAGTTTACTTATTTAAAAATTGAGATTTTAGTCCATCACAGGAGCGAGCTTGGAGCATTGGCCACCCCGCAGAAGGAAGGACAGTGTCAGCATGAATTCAGAGATGATTTGAGGATCTACAGCCGAGTGATACACAAACATTCTTGTTAATAGTTAAGCACCTGAAGGCATTTTTAAGGTTTACCTCCTCAGTTTAGTGAAGCTCCTTAGTTTAGTCAAAGTGAAGCTGCTGTAGCAGCTGTCCAACATATGGGCAGCACCTTCAAATCTGCATTTTTTCCTAAACTTCCCCAGAGCACAGCATTTATTGTCATGACAACTGTAGGAAAGTGGACTTTTACCCAACCATTCATTTCTATGGCAGATATGTTTTTGCCAAAATGCCACAAAACTGTTGCTTGCAGTACCTTTTAGAAAATGCCCTGTACATGACACACAGAGCTTACAGTCTACTTGATGCACTGTTTCACTTGGCATTTCAAAGGCACAAATGTTAATGGGGACTTACAAGTTTTAGGTCGTTATGTTTCTGTCCAGCTACAGTTCTAATGGAGAACTGGTTTTTATCGGACCTCTTCCGCCCAGTGTGCTGACCTGTTGTACTTCCATGGTTAAAATATGTTGCCATCATACCAACAAGCTTGTTTTTAGGTGCAAAGCTCTTTTTATTACATGACTACACAGAGAAGCAATGCTTTGGGACCATGCACTGACCCTTCATCGGGTATGGGACCCTTCATTATATGCTTGATAAAGGGTCACTTTGACCGCTGCTCCTCTATGTAGTCATGCAATAAAATAGGATTTGTGTTGTGAAATAAGCTTGTTGGTGCTGCAACACATCTTATCCATGTGATGCACCATGACCAGTCGTTGCAGCACCATTTTAACCCCATGGTCAAGTTTGGAGTGCCAGAGGAATATACTTCCTGTTCTACTTCCAGTCTCGCTCAAACCTAGAAAAGGAAGAAGTCTGGAGATGCGACACATAGGATCGTGACCAAAAGATTGCTATGGGGGACTACTGTTTTTTCTGGTTATGTATTTATCCATCCATGCATCAGATAAGCTCTGCCTTCTGGCAAAGTATGTGAAGTGTGCTGTCTAAAAATCTCAGCGACAGGAAATGTGCAGACAATGAACAAACAGTTGGTTACAGCCACTTACGCAGTTCTCCCTTGCCTCTTCAGATGATGGAATTTGTGGTTTGCACTGCGGTTTTGGAGGGTTTATCATGTGCTGTGAGAGACCTCCAGGAAGTAGTGCTAAGATGTCTATCAGTGTTCAGAGGACAAAGGGTCTCGTGTCTGAAAAGCACTTAATGTTAAGAATGTTCTGGTCAAAAAATGTTAGTTTTTAGACCTTTTCTGGAAAAAGATGGACTGCTATGGGCAAGAACTTTACCTTATGCTGTTAATCAGTGTTTGTCAACTGATAGGGTATAAGGGGCCCATGATGTCTGCAACATATTTATTTCATGTAATGCTTAATCCATAAAATGAAGACTTACTAGAGGAAATGGTCAAAGACTGTTCTACAGGAGTGGCTGAAAACTGAAAGTATGCTATTGGAGACAGCTGGAGATGTTACATGAAACTGCTAAAGATTACTGTTATTAAAGACCCCTTTACAAATCAATGCTCCCACTACTGACTGCTGAAGCACAAGGGCTACACTTTAAACACCAAAGGGCTGAATGTGGTCCCCAGGACGCAGGATGGGCACCAGGGCTGTAGACACACATCAATTTTCTGGGACTTTTAACTGCTTTCAACCAAGTTTAGAGCCATAAAAAACTATTGACTGGATCAAGGAAAATGATCCAGTCAAATGATATATTTGTATGTTAGGAATGTTAGTAGATTGCATTGATCCACCTGACCTTTTTAAGCCTATCAGATCTCTGACCATATGGAGGCTGTGTAGCACCAGCTGGCTGCACAATGAAGAATGCAGAGACCTACACTACAAGTCTAGGTCTAAAGTGTAAAGATACAGTGTAAGACCTACACTAAAAGTGCTGAAGAGGGAATGAGGAGTAGAAAAGAATAAGGGCGCTAAACCATTTCCCAAACAAGTATGTGTTGAAATACTTTCACACCGATAGCTTAGCTGTACCCTAATCTGTATCAATGCAAGGCTTCTTTACTTAATGATAGGTCTGTGTTTCAAGCACATTAATTCACAGTATTACATTCCTGTAATCTGTCCTATCCAGATACAGCGGGTCCCCTGCACCGACAGCCGTGTTATTGTAATTCACCAACCGAATGCCAAGCATTCCACCCTAGCAAGTCCTAAATTTATCTGAAAGAATAACAATAACAAAGGCTCCTTTGTCTATTAATAAAGCTAATTTACGAGCAAGGTGAGGAATAGCCCTGACCAATTGGTATTTAGGCAATAAACACTTTAAAGTGAACCTGTCATTGAAAATAAAACCTTGGAAACATCACACAAAACCTGCCTCATGCTGCAGACAGACCTCGAAAAAGAGATGAAGCTTAAAGGAGAACTATGGGGTTAAGTCTTTTCCCCATAGTTCTCCTTAGGGTAACGGGAGGACACAAACTAGCGTCCTCCCGCCACCCTAGGCTCAGTATACCGCGAGCTGTAGCTCGCGGTATACTGAGATGCCGCAGCTGAAGTGGATCCCGACAATTGTGCCGGGATCCGCCCAGCTGCGTGACTGATAGCTGGCTCTGCCTATCTAGAGGCAGAGCCAGCTGTACCCGCCTCCTCCCCCTGTCCAAGGAAAACACCAATGGGGACATGGGCCTCAATAAAGCCTTTTTTCTAGTTGGAAAGGGTTTTGGTCCATCTGTCAGGTTTTCTTCCTGTCCATCTGGGACAGGCAGTGGGGGCAAATCTTGCCAATTGGTGTACAAGCAGCAACGCAAAGCCCACAGATGACTTAACCCTTCCGTACTCTATCCATGGAATTCTACTTTTATTTATGCTTCTTCTTCTGCAGCATTCAGTCATTGTAGAAAGCTCAATATAAAAATTATTCATATCTGTAAGGACAAAGTAACAGGGTCCCTTAACACAAGTAGAGTAAGCATTCTGTATCTGATTTTCAAAGGCTCCCCTCACTAGCCAATCCACCTCCAGGACCCAGTAAGGGTACCTCTTTGTATAAAGGAACAAGTCACAAGCACCCCTCCATCTCCCACAGCTTAAGTACCCGATTGCTGAATATTTCGACTTATTCTGAATGTTCTGGGGGCTCTGGAAGGAGATCTTGATGGATGGGGAGTAAAGGGAAGGTAACTTTAAAATGTTTACTCTCTACCATGGACAATGGTCTAGGGTCACTCTAAAATAAAGCAGCAACCTAAAGTAGATCTAACGCCAAATCATTTTTATTTTTTTTAGCTTTGGATAGAGAAGGTAAGGAAGGATGAGAATCCCTGTTCCCATTGGGGACATTTCCCTTAACTTTCTATCCGGTAGACACAACATGTTAGAGACACAATCTCACTGCAACAAATGTCATTATTAGGAGATTTTTATTTTCCTGATTTTGGTGACAATTTCACATTTTGGATTTTCCCTCACTTTCAGTCACAGTTGTGACCAGGACAAATAGAGAGGGTGAATCTACCTAGAAGGGACATCAATAAAAACCTGACATGGATTTAAGTTTTTGCCCTTTCTATCCCCCCCCCCCCCCCCCCCAAAAA